TGAAGATCTAGTGGTATATCAACGCACGTGCGAGTTCCATATTTTGTTAAAAGTCCATTAAAACTTTATAATTATTATAATTTAAATGATTCTTCCGATACGTACTCTCCGGTGAAAGAAAACACGATTAGAAAACCTGTACGATACCAACAAACGACGACTTAACGACTTGATTCAAATTTTCCACGTGTGACGAAGTGCGATCTTGGTAGATTAGCACCTCAAGAAGCCTGTGTCCCGGGTTTGTAAAAATAATGAGTGATTATTTTTCATATGTTTTCCCCTGTGTCATCTTAAAATAGTATTTATTTAAAATTGATAGTACAGAATCATCCTAGCATCAAAATTACTTACTCATCCTAGCATCTGAGGTTCATCGAAATTGTAAATAAAACAAATTGTATTTCTCCTCTCCTATTCCCAAAAACCAAAGAAGACCAAAGAAAGTTTCATTGTTCTAGCTTCAAAAACCACGAATTTCCATACAAACATTATCCCTTTTTCAACCCCTATTGGGCATTAAAAATATGCCTATGTCCTTTCAGGCTTTAAAATATCTATGTACTAAATTTCATTTAAATCAGTTGAGTAGTTTCGGAGTTAAAGCCGGACAGACAGGTAGACAGACAAAGTTACTTTCGCATTTATAATATTATTAAAATCTATAATTTATTTAAATAAAAATTTATAAATGGTAAATAATAAATAAAAGAATTATTAAAATCGGTCCAGTTCTTTTTGTGGTTATCCGCTACATACAAAAATACAAATCTTTCATCTTTATAATATTAGTGTAGAAAGGCTGCATTTATCGAGGAAGGTTATAACCTTCCTCGATAAATGCTCTTACCAACACAAAAATAATTTTTCAATTCGAACCCGTACTTCCTGAGATTAGCGCGTTCAAACTAACAAACAAACTCTTCAGCTTTATATATTAGTATAGATATAGATGCTCGCTTCAATACTTCAGCGCTACAAGTTGTCTTATAGTCTTAAATTGTAAAACGCTAACTCATGCAAAGTTACTATTGTAATACCATCTTTTGTGAGACACAGTACTTCTTGAAATACTGTAATGGTTATGTAAAATCGGTGTACATGGGTACTGGTTACAAAAACACTTCCGTTAATTACACGGCATATAGTTAGATTGTAGCAAATGGCAAACTTAATTAGCTTATGCTAACAAGATTCTAATATAGCCAGAGTGAACTCATCGGGCGTACATTGTTGTTATTAAAATTTTCTTTACATAACTTTTATTTTAAGACTTCAACCATTAAATTTCGACAATCTGTAAGTGGTTGAAAGCGCCGTTAACACAATACGTTTTATTCGATTTTGATCTGGAATCTACGATTAAGAAGGATTTCTTGATTCTTGACAATTGACGGTTTAAAATGCGAAATATATCAGTAAACTTATGTAAATGTTACTTGTATATAATTCAAGTTTTCAATTTCAAGTTTTACTTTAAAATTGTTGTTCTTTTTCAGCCATCGGTATACTTTACATAGAATCTCATTTTACATATCTTTTTGTTTTGAAATCTATCGTTGGACCATGTGTGTAACGATGTTAATAGTGTTTTATTGTAGTTATTTGTATTTGTTTCAAAATATAAACTATATCTTTCTATTGACAATTTAATTCAGATATTACCTTTTGGTCGCGACAATTGGCGATGCGTAGAGCACAAGGACGACGCGACAATTTGTTTTTTGTGTACCTCGCCGGACTACATTGTCAGTAGTAAAATATAATTTCTTTTATTCGCTAATCGCTTCGGCGTTTTACAGCCATTGCGACTGTAAATTACTATGGTTAAAGTGGGCGCGACTCGGCGACTCACCGCGTAGTGGCGACTCCCACTATGGTCGCTGAGAGACGTCGCCGGCGAATGGTCGACAGTGCGGAATGGCTTTTAGGTTGGCTTGAAAAGCAACTCAAACCACAAGTCTACCCCACTCATTAATCATACTAAACACGAACATAATGCCATAGAACAGGACGCCTTACATAGCAATGATTCAATTCTTGTTTACAAAGTGACTGATGAATGCTCTATACAGCTAAGTATACCAGAACTCTTATAGGTTGAGGTCACCGCTCCATCTCGATCTGGATATCAAAGGCTTATTCTTCTCGATTTTCAGTTTGTTTACTTTTAATTTTCGTGTTTTCAAAGACATTAAACGCGTGACCTTACATTTCTAGAACGCCAACTGCCTTAATACTAATAACTATTTTTATATTCCCGATTCAAAGGACTTCTAGCGCATATAGATTATGTGCTAAATATTTTATATATTGTGTTTTAAATGATTTTAATGAATGCAACAGAATAAAGTGGAATTCATCTTACCCCAATAAGTATAATCAAAACGTTATTAATTGTAATAATGTGTCAGATTTTTTGAAGAAGGTAAAATATTAGTGGTTATTAATTACTAGCTGTGTCAGCGACTTCGTTCGCGTAGAAAAGTTAACTTTTTATATTTAAGCTGTTATAACGTCGTCCGTTCCTGAGATTAGCGCGTTCAAACGAACAAACTTTATATATTAGTATTTATATTATGTAAGTCATAATCATTGATTGATAATCATTGATCAAGATTGATGTTTTAGCAAATCGTAAAATAACAAACAAATGGGTATAATCTGTGGGTACAAGGTATTGGATGAACCCACAAGACCTTGAATTATCTTGTTAAGAGAATAAATTTGTCCGGTGCACGGAGTTCGTGTGCACTGATAGTATAAAAGTTCACGACGTTTTTCATCTGTGGACGGTTGTTCGAGGTTAAATAATATCCAGACTTTCAAGATGAAATCCAACATGTTTTAGACAATTTTTAAATTGATAAAACACATGTTGAACACTTAGTAAGAATTATATCATATTAGAACAAACCAAAGTGCGAAAACATAAATGTTTCAGATTTAATTCAAATCACATACAATTTACACTAAACTAAATAAACATTTACACTAATATGAAAAAGCTGAAGATGGATTTTTTTTTGTGTAGGTTAGAGCATTTATCGAGGAAGGTTTTAGGCTAATACATCGCGCTGCGACCAATAGGAGCTAAGAAATAGTGGGAAATGTGGGAAAAAATGGGGAAAATTATAATCTTTGTGGGTTTCCGCTGCGAAAACAGTTCAAGATATCCAAAACATATATATGAAAGAATGATTTCTTTAAACGATCTAACAAATGTCCGCGACATATATGTCTGTATGTAGGTATATCTTTAAAGATTAACTTGCAAGAATGACGGGACGCGGATGACGTCGTGTCACCTAAAATTTATAAAGATGAGGTTTTTAAAAACACATTTTGATGCCTAAAATAACTAATCTAGGTAGACGAAGTCTCGGTCACTGCTAATAAAAACTAAATTTTAGGTAGTATATAATATGTAAATACTTCATAAAACATTAACCTTTGCGAAGTACTTTTAAGTGCTTAATTGTAATATTGTCTTGGTCTTACTGTTCGCCCACGCATTTACTTATGTCAAGCAAGTAATCGTATGCGTGTTTTATGCAAATAAGTAGACAGGAGTACCTAGGTATTGCACAGAAGTCACAGAGGGAATAGTAAACAATGACTATTATGCATTTCTAGCCATGCGATCTCGATAGTTATGCTGTGATTCGATAAATAATGTGTTGCTGTACTAGTTCTCAGGGCCCACTCTAATCAGATAGTGAATCAAGAGTTTTTTTTTTCGATTCGCATCTCCTTGATTAGGAATTTCCCGTACTCCATAAGTAAGCAAGCCTATAGCGGCATTATATTATTATTATTATCGTTTTCCATAAAAAGGCATACATGACTTTTAATTTATTATTGTAAAGGCCGGTTTTATTATATGATATTTTATGGTCTTTTAATAAGAATAGCCAAAAGGCAATTTTTATTTAGTAACATTAACAAACCTTCTTTATAATACTAGTGAGTAAATAAGCTGTGCATTGTGTGTTGCGCGCCATCTAGCGAAACGTATTAAAAACTTTATATGTGAGGTTGCCATTATCAAAAAAGGAATTCCACTTTGTTTTTTGTGTTTTTTAGAGTTACAGACGTTTTAATGTTGTCTAGAAGATGGCGCTGTTATTCGTATATTAAAATACATTAAACCTCTAATTAAAAACCGAAAATGTATTCTTGAGAAAAAACGTTTAAGATTGTAAACACGTGTAAAATAATATTCTGAAAAACATCAAGTACCTACGATTTAAATAATTCTGTAGTAAATTATAACAATGTAGTAAGCTATAAAATTCACTTATCTGGGTCACATCTAAAAGCAAGTAGGCATTGACATTAAATAAAACAGGTATAGAATATCCTTTTGTATATTTATAAATCTTTAACATAGTATGATTCATAATATGAAATATAATTTTAAATTTTTGTTCAATGACAGTCAACTATTTAATAATTTTTTACTTGTCACCAATGTCAAAATTACACTCAGAGGAACTACGAAGGATCTTCTCGCAGCTTATAATACTAGTTAGGTATGGAATGAATTATAGAAACTATTAAATAAAATGCATTCTCGGTACAATAACAGTAGTGACAATGTATTAATTCAAAGGTGTTTACTAGTTTTAAATTAACAAAGCACTTTAATTTGTTCCAAATACGAAATATATATACCATGACTGCTGCGCCGTAATTATGATATTATTAAAAATCAATTGTTCAGTATATTTTACATCGTTATTCATGCACTTTGATCTGTACCAATTGTTTAACTACAGACCATGAAGGTTTCAATTTTAAAAATGTATTTAATTGTATTGGCTGTTACACAGATATTATATAAAGATAGTCCATTTAGGTTCTAGTGCATTGTTAAGATAGTTAATATCTAAGCTTTTAGGCATTAAGAGCTATAGATAATACTTATCTAAATAGACAAAGCTGTTTAATACCATGATGAAAGACTTCTACGATCATAGCGTATAGATTACACAATTTTAACAAGCGAGACCCCCTCCTTCGTTCCTCTCAAACTCTCGTCGCACATATTCCGCCTGTTTTTCATTTAAGCCTAAGCGGACCACGTCCTGTTCAAATTGCGTTTTCCCGCCAATTCCGACCAGGTAACCGTTCAGTCTAGCTGCTAAATGTGACGTTTGTAGCTTTGTTGAATCGAGTCCAAGGCTGCGGCACAAATCTTTGTGGCCTTGCAATCTGTATTTTTGATGGTAACTGAAAAAAGTTATTTTCAAAATAAATGGCGCGATTCACTCAAATGACAAATTCATTGTTTTTAGAGTAACGCTGTTTTAGATTGTATAGGTACATGTAGATGTAGTTTGGCAAAAAAGTCACACCTTAAGAATAGATTAGTTTTTATTTGTACGCCAGAATATTGACTAAAGGGTGTGCGAATATAGTCGCTTGATGTGTTCACATTAATTAGTCATGAAAAAAACTACTTTTGAAGTATGTATCTTTATGGTTATTTATATATATATTTGTTAGGGATTTTATATTTTGCTTTATTATTCATGTTATTAGTCAAAAATAGGTTGACAGCATATCGTGTTCTAAATCTTATACGGCTGAGCTATTTCAGCTACCATCACTACGAACCCCAAGCTTGCCCGTCCTCTTTAAAAGAGAGGAAAATACAAATAACACTGGAAGGTTAAGTGGTTCTATTGGCAACAGATCGCTCTAAAAGGAGACGACCTTGACATAAAATTATTCAATTGATATGACATACGTGCACTAAGTGCAAATGTCGCTTTGAAATTTAAATTTTACTACGCTTGTTGCTAAGCACGTTTGCACGACGATTTAATGATAATTTCTGCCATAAAATATCACTAAGTCAGAGCTATTAAATACTTGAAACGATTTCACACTAACACAAATCAATAAGTATTATGTCAAATACGACGTATTTTTAATGACATAAAAAGTATTATGTCATTAAAAATACGTCGTATTGTATTGTAAAGTGATCACCAAACAGTGACACAAACATTTGACAGATTTCTCTTTTTTACAAGAGATGCCGCCTCCTCCGCAATTAGTCGGTAAAAAGATGCCGAATGGTGGGCTCACTTTTGACAAAAATTAATTTGATAACAGAGTTTATCTCGCTCTATCAGAGATTTATATCGACCGTTTTTACACGCGCTAGTCTTTGATGGTTTTTAATTAGTTATAGTGTACCTAGTATACCTCTTATTGACTATAGTAGAGCGATAGTTTTTATCCGAAAAATTACAAGGAATGGTGTGCGTAACAATATTATTTCAAATAGAACTTTCATATCTATACTTATATATAAAGCAGAAGAGTTTGTTTGTTTGAATACGTTATAACCTCGGGAACTACTGGTTCGAATTGAATAATTCTCTTTGTGTTGATTGGAGATTTATTGCGGAAGGCTTTAGGTTATGAAATAATAGGAATGAAGAAACAGCGGGAAATATGGAAAAAACGGGGCAAACTAAGTATTCATCTTTATAGGTTTCAGTTGCGTGCGCCGCAAAAACGGTTCAAGATACTAAAAATATATAAATGAAAGAATTATTCCTTTAAATAAAACACTTTAACGGTTTAAAACGCGATATATTAGTTAAACTTATTTGGTTTTGGACCTCGGTCTCCCCTTGACCACGGCTGCTGCAAAGCATCCGAAACGTCGGGCCGAAGTTAAAATCCTTTTCAAATAAGTTTAACTAATATATCGCGTTTTAAACCGTTAAAGTGTTCTATTTAAATGTGTACTACTCGCGTAAACTATAGACAGTATAGAATTTTTCCCGTTCAAATGATATAAAAAATGTCCACGACGCTATATCTTTTAAGATTTACTTCGAAGAACGAAGTAAAAGTTGCAAAAAGCAAATTTGGATGCCCAAAATAACTATTCTACGTCAACGAAGTCGCTGACACAGCTAGTATTAAATATATAATATTACTTATCCTAATGTCGAAAATTAAAAACATGCAAATGCAGTTTGGTCTTACTCTTCAGCGGGATAGAATGGCCCTGCTGGCGCGATCTCTGTTCGAAGTTGTCCTTTGCACTGAACCTGCATTTCTTTAAATGATTCTTCGGCAGCTTGGCGTTGGTCGTCCTCGTGGTACAATACCAAGGATTGGTACTGAAAATATGATGATGAGAATGTTACTGATGAAATTGCTGCTATATGATTTCTTATTCAACAATGATGATGATGAATATGTGTACATATTATACATATATAGTTCTCTCCAAACTTTTTGGCCGGGCTGAAGTTAGCGCGGATGGTTGCGCAGAACGCAAAAAGCGGTGTTAGTTGCGACAAGTCGGGGTGCGCGGGTGCAAGGCGTCTTTTTGCTTAAAATCGACAGAACCATGCGCAAGATGGCGGTCGTAACTTCACCCCGGCCAAAAAGTTTAGAGAGAACTGTAACTTATACGCATCACAGCATATATACAATTTTCTTTAATACAAATTTCAATATATGGGCTTTCCGCTAGTTGAAATTATAGAGATATCGATAATATCGTTTGAAATTTATTTACCGCTATTGTTATTAAATCACCTTTGAGAGATAACCGTGTGCGCCTGTAGTATTATGATTTTCTATGTAGGGATATGTTAGACCGGACATAGAAATTCTTCAGTTGTATAATAGCACTCTGAACGTGGATTTTTTGAGATACACAACGTTTTAAAAAACACCTCCGTAACTTAAAAAAAATTACAAATGTTTGTTGCATAAACCGTCCTACCTGTCTTTTCAACTTTGTTGTAAGTCCGTATTCGTGGTTAGCCCAAAACATTTCCAACAAATCTTCATACGAAATGGTCTTGGGATCATAGTCTAATTCTATAACTTCTGTGTGGTCTCCCCTGTAAGCGAATAAATAAAAATGTTTTATTCTTTTTAAAGAAGTTAATCTTGTCAAAGCAAAAACAAGAACTTCGCTTCGTCAGAAAATATTGTTTAAGTAAGTGTACAGAGAATACACTAAAAGTCAAAACATTTTTCGTAAAGTTCAAATTCGTATTTATAACTATAAAATTGCCCTATATAATATATATTAGTTAATACGTTCTAAGAAGTGCACACAAACCAACTTAATTATGTTTTAATTGGATGTAATAGTTTCGTCTTACAAACGATTGTGTAATAAAAAGTACATAAATAAATTATAACAAACAAAAGTTGGACTAGTAATATTATATAAGCACGGCGATATGATTTTTTAAGACAACAGTGGACTGACAAACATGGATTTTAATTGAGAGAAGCGATAGTTCTAACATTTAATTAAGATGTGCAGTCGGCCATTTCGGATTTGGACATTCGGATATCCACAATCCGGAATCGAAACGCGGATCAACAATTCACGTTTTTTTCATGTATTCAGCATTTTAAGACACGGTTCAATACAATCACAAAATAGTAGGAACGGAACGACCCGTTAGCAATTAGCTATAGACCAAAGATCCCTTAAAGAAAGTATTCATAACGAGTCCGATATATTCGCTCAACGCGCCAAAAATAGTCATGCGTATACGCGTGTATAGATTACGCAACATAATCTATGCCTTGGCCTTGTCAATTCATTTTGCGCACAACCTTGGCTCAGACAAGAATACAATGTCTAATATAATTTAGTGTGATAAGAATGCCATTTCTACACAAAATATATTTTTAGTTTAAGATAGAATAAAAATTTAATCATGAAGATAAATAAAAGTGAAGATTTCCTTCCTTAAAAAAGTGTGTTTTGGATTTTTACTTCAATTGTATTGACGTACAAAAGAGCATTTAATATCAAAGTTTTAAAATTTATAAAAAAAGATTATATAATCTATTTCTATAAATTATATAATCTGAACTATATAGTTATCAAATAGATTGGCATATAGAAAAGTAGTACTTTTCTATATGCCTTATTCTTATGTTAAATTTTGCACAACGCTTTATATTTTGATAAGTTTTATACGCCTGTAAGTGACGGGTTTAAGGATCTCAATGAATGCTAAGACAACCACTGAACCTCCAAGGTCAATTCTTAAGTACCACGAATCCATTACATTGCTTTACCGTCTTGAAACGGAGCCGCCGAATCAGATTTCGAGCCGCGTCTTTCTCAGAAAACATTGTCATCGTTACACAAAGTACATATAACAAAAGAAATTCACTTAGACATTTACATGTCTGTACTGTACTGTAATGTACATAGTACTCTTAAGTACGTAATATAACGGAATACCTAGACTAAAATAAAGTTTAAATCCAGCTTAAAAAGCATGAAAAAACTTTGATATTTCTCACAAGGCATGATGGTACTACATATCGATAGCTTAACTGGTTAGAGCAACAGCACGGAACGCTGTGGATGCCGCTTCAAGTCCTGACCATCTTAAAAATAGATTATAAATCTATTTTTAGCATGAAAAAGTTTAATGTCTTTTATTACTGGCCTACTTAGAAGGGATTATATTAATTTTCATAGCTGGTAAATATCTTTTTTTATGTAATCAGACTGTGTTGACTTTAGGTAATTTACAATTAATTATTGTTGTTTAAAAATGTTGTAATGTAATACTGGTTGATCGATAAATACAAAAAGGGTTTCGTTAATTTTTAAACATGGAACTAAATAATCATTCAATCAGTCATCAGAAAACGTAACGTTGTAATGCCAGACCCTATTTAAAAATTATTTAACTGATTTAATTTGCGTGTTAACTTGTTAAAATCGATACATTGACAAATTTCGCGAGGCACTACGATTAATTGTGTTCTATTAAGAACATGGATCACTAATAAAAATAAACAAGTGACACATCACTCGTGTAAGTGCAATAACCTGCGTACAACGTATAGTATCACGGTCTAGGTAAATATTACGGTATTTTGTTACTATTAGGGTTCCGTATTCGAAGGGTAAAAACGAAACCCTGATACTAAGACTACATCTATTCTATAGACTATGCTATAGCCTACGCGGTTTGTCTGTTTGTCTAGTTCCAGACTGTCAAGAAGTACCAAAAATAATTTTTGTGATGTATGTTACAACGTGTTAAAACAGAGTAAATATACCCTTGCCTATGCAACAAACGCCAATCTTCCCGTTTCTGATCGATATCGATAGCTTAAAAAGAACTAAAGATTATATTTTCCATTCACTTCGTTCATGGTACCGACTTGTGCTAGAACAGTTTTATTCTACACACTATACGTATATACGGTTTAAAGTGTGGTAAGAATAACTTTCTTCCTATGTCTATCTATCTATTTTAAATTTATTTAAATTGCTAAATAATATTGCTAAATAACTTGCAAAGGTGTACAGTTCAATACCTTGGTATAAAAAAATAATAAAATTTAGGTAAAAAAGGAAAACCCACTATATTTTTACTTATTAAATAAAACTCTTGTAAGTAGTAAAACGCAACGAATATTACTTGATTTGTTTTTCAAATAAGGCCAGAGGTTGTGAATGCTAAACAGCAGCTGGTAAAGCCCCAAACTAAGGGCGTAAAAAGAATGAAAAGAACTGGCAAGAAACTCGCCGCCATTCTATAGTCAGCCATGTTTTTTTTGAAATTACATAAGTATGCCAAACATACTAAAGTGAAGGCTTACAAAGTTATCAGTAGATCAATGGTATATTAACAATGTATTTTAAACTCATCCTTGAAAAAAATAATTTGTAGAACGTTTGTATTTTTATATTATTCCGTAAAAAAATAAGTGCTTCGTGGCTAATGAAAACTAAACGATTGTTATTTTTATTAATATAAACTGTAAATACTAATCCCATCAAAACATAAATGTAAAAATCGGGAGTTAAAAACAAAAATCCAAGTATGTATAATACTGTCTATAGTTTACGCGAGTAGTACACATTTAAATAAAACACTTTAACGGTTTAAAACGCGATATATTAGTTAAACGTCTCCTCGTGACCACGGCTGCTGCAAAGCATCCGAAACGTCGGGCCGAAGTTAAAAATCATTTTCAAGTAAGTTTAACTAATATATCGCGTTTTAAATTGTTAAAGTGTTTTATTTAAATCCAAGTATGTACTAATAAGAACAAAATACTATTATGAACAAGTAATAAATTCGATTTCTTTGTCATATTGGATATCTAAAACAATTGCTGTTATTAAAAAAATGTAAAATCGTAATCTTACGTAAGTTATATTTTCATTTTATTTCTATTTAACACGAAAAATGCATCAGAATGCACTATATTTATAGACGAATGCGTTGGTAAACAGAATGACTCTACATTTCTACTATTGTTCTAATCTACGTTTCTAATACGTCTACGTAATGATTCACGATCATGAGATAAAACACGTGTATAAAACAAAACTACTTTTATCACTATCATATCTTTATGAATTTTTATGCCTTAGCCTTGACATGTATTTCACAATATCGCGAAATATATTATACATTTTTGATAGATTATCTAATGGTTAAAATTGTATACATTATTTTCACTTTTTCAAAAAGTTTTCGATGTGTTTTGACTGACTTGAGGCTTCATTTTTACATGAAGCAAAAAATAAGTTAAAGTTTACGCGAATAGTACCTAAACATTAAGAGGTATTTAAACAAAAACTCGACGGTTTAAATCGTTTAAACATTAGTTATTTATCAACGACCCGACGATATTTCGCGTGCTATTTAGCTGTGTCACAGAACTGCCCATTATAACGAGACAAATTAATTTACTAATATTATTCGAGAGTAAGCCCGTTAAATTTGTTTCATTCACTTATAATGAATTTAAAGTTTCACTTACAAGTTTCTGTAATGTGGAGTTTTCGTGGTACCACCGGAGTAGCCGACTCTTGTTCGGACAACTCCTGGTGTGACTCCAAATAAAGAGTCGTTTGACCAGAAACATCCCATTCCAAATGTGGCCTTTTTCGTCGGGATGTCGACATCGTGGAGAAGAGCGGGCTGAAAAAAATAATATAAACATCTTAGTTTGAAGGGAATACAAAATGGAATACTGTATATGCCGGGGAGGTGTTTGTACCAATATGATGAAAATTCGACGATGTCGTATAGGACTCGGTTGCTTAATTGGTTAGATCAACAGCACGGAACGAGTGGTAATGTTTTTCGTTTTATAACCCATTTTCAATTTATATGGATATAAGTTAAAAATAATAATATAGAAATAATCTAAATATTTGCCGTTTTAAACTATTAGAAACGTCAAGCATCAGTTTCAATAACCACTTTTAACGTATAAAATGAGAAGTCGAAAATCTTTGTACGAAAATTCCTTTTGACTTAGCTCACGACCATTCCTGTGCAACGTGTGCATAAACCAGTTCGAAAGCACGAAGGTGCAATCATGCGATGGGCAGAGCCGAAACTTCGTTAAGTTTTAAATCTTCCTTACCTCAAACATTTCTAACAATATTTAGAGACGAAGAAACTAGTGAATATCAAATTTGGTAATTATTAATTTTTGCACGTAAACGATAGCGATTACAATGACCTCTATCTACAAGAGCTCGAACACTAAGACACGTTTGAAACGATATACCATAAAATGAAGCATTAGTGTAATTTAGATAACTTAGAAGCACTAATTATAGTAGATTACCGAACACTAAAGCCATTATCTTCTCCGGATATAAGCTAATTTTGCGTTGTTAATTAATTAACTAATTACAATGCTTTTCTTCATTGATGACTTGTCTATTTTCTTTATCATAGACTAGCTGTGTCAGTGACTTCGTCTGCGTAGATTAGTTATTTTGGGCATCAAAATTTGTATTTGGAAGCCTCCTCATCTTTATAAACTTAAGTCAATTAAAAATTAATCATCCTTTTATAATAATATTTTAGGTATCTCGAACCGTGTTCGCAGCGCACACGCAACGAATCACTCAATGAATAATTTTCCATGTTTTCAAATTCCTCACTGTTCCTTCGTTTATATTTGACCATTAAGCTAGACGGTCCAACCAACACCAAAAAATTTTTTAATTCGAACCCGTACTTCCTGAGATCGGGCGCGTTCAGACAAACAAACTTTTTATAATATTACATAGAATTGATTTAAATTTAAGCGTTGGTCATCAAACAGTTAAATTGTTCAATGTATATTGGGCTATTATATACTCGACTATTCATATATCAAATATTCTATTTCGGTTTATTAAAATTGTCGACTTCCCTTGAATCACTGTTGAGTGACGTGCAGACTTGTATTTTTATCTTACAGTGTGTGTAATGTATATATTCTATATACAACACATAGTTTCATAATCTTTTCACGAAACCCTTTTTAGCTGTCGTTCACTCTAACTGCGTTAAAAAGTTTACGCGTCGCTAAAAGCGAAATGAAAAATTGCGTATTCGATAATGTTATAAGGATTCCAATTTCATGGTATAAAGAAGTACATATTTAAATAGAACACTTTAACGGTTTAATACGCTATACATATTAGTTAAAGTTATTTGAAAATTATTTAAAGTCCGGCTCGACGTTTCGGACGCTTTGCAGCAGCCGTGGAGACCATGTTTTAGATCAGTGGTTTATTTAAATGTGTATAACTGGCGACAGTATTCAAAGAATTACGCTATATTGAAGTTTCCAAACATGTGCGGTTCAAGCTGTTATAAGCAGGTATACGAGCGACCGGTTTGACCAAATAATATGAAACAAATAAATAATTGGCCCGACACAAGACAAAAAGATGTGGATCATGTTTTCAAGTTTATTATATCTAGATAAACGTGAAGTTTTGATGAAAAATAAAAATGTTTCAAACAAACAATATTAAGCTTTGCATTGAATCCGTATATGATCCTAAGAAGCTGTAAGCATAAAAACTAAATTCAAAGAGTTAAGAGGATTATTAATTTAAAAAATCAAGTAAACAATGCTTATTACTAATTAATATTGCTCATAGACGGAAAAACTTAGGTATATTATATTCAAGTAGGTAATTCTGCTTACACTTGTATTATATCTGTATAATACAGTTAATTTAAAATAAATTTTAAATTGACAGTACTTACTATTGTAAGTAAATAAAACTCGGTGTTCTTATAGGCTTACCTTGTTCTTCCTCATTTAAGGACAGGGTAGCAATATATAATACCTATTATGTATTTTGTTTGACTTGTAATGTAAATATTATCTCAGTCATTTTAATTGAAAACTTTCCTAAATTAATTTCCTATATATCTTGTATGTTTTATTTGAATCCCTAAAAACAATAAAATCAACAATTGCGTCAGACCCAAAAAATCAGGTAACAACTTACATTTGTTGGTGGTTTCATAGCGCACAGTTGTCTTATAAACTTGAACATACACAAAATTATTCAATATATTATTACGATATTTTAAAACTAAATATAACGTGTTATTTATAAAGCGATACCGCGACACGACTACACGTGGTGGCGGTCTAGCCAACACTGTTTTATGTCGATATCAAAATATTGTCTGCCGCAAGCAACGTGTTTTCTTTTGAAGCGTTTTCGTTAGACATACAAATTACTTTGCTTTTAAATCTATCTATTGATGGTCAGTTGTAACAGCATAGTCTGTAATTTACTCGAGCAGAATATTTTTAAATTAAATGCTTTAAGCAGTTTAAAACGCGAAATATATTAGTTAACTTATTTTTTATTTAAGTGTCAACTTTATATAAAAACTTTTTGCTTCCTTATTTACTCACTCGGTACCTATTAGGACTTCTAATAGAACCTCGGTTATTATTGAAGATGTGTCTGAGGTATTGCCAAGTATAGTAAATGCATATAATGCAATTAACATTTCTCTTACGTATGAAGAAGGATTCAGGATGTTCTTATAAACAATAAGATGAAATACTAGTCACTCCTTTCAGGATAGTGATAATGAAGAATAAATATTTTTTTGTATAATAACGTTAACTTTATATCGTTAGATTGTCTGTAAGTCTCTATAGTCTGATTGTCTGTAGAAAACATAATGTTTGTTAATACTACTAACAACTTAACAGTAGGTAACAATATTCAGAATTCAAGTTTACAAAGAGTTTAAACTACATTTAAAGTCAAGGTAATATTATACCGACGTTATTGATCGGACAGTGACGTAGCTAAATTACGTCAAAGTGGATCTAATAGCATTTTTATATTGCCACATTGTTCTCTAGCATAAATTATTACATCTATGACCCTACGCATTGTTTGTGGTTTACGCGAGTAGTCTAAATTATCTAAAAGGACACTTTTTGAGATTTAAAACTCGAAATATATAAGCTAACTTATATATAATTTAATTTAACTGCAGCTTGATGTTTTCAACGCTAAGGCAAAACTGCTACGCTAGCGCCATCTATTTCGTCGTTGGTATTTGGATAAACGCGCCGATTCCATACTTATACAGTCTCCCGATGTCTTCTCTTCCACGGGTGGGCTGTTTTTAAGCATCGGGCCGTAGATAAATTAAAAATAGGTCAACTGTATTTCGCGTTTTAAACCATTACAAAGACTTTATTTATAGCCATTGTCTTTAAACGTAAATGTATTGCATGAAACCTCATTATAAGGATAAATACAGGAACACAAAGTTAAGTCCAGTGCAGCATAAGTCTTGGACTTAAAACTTCTAAATATATAAAGACTCCTTCAAGAGGCTTATCTTTTTTTATAAAAGGCTCACTTTTGTAGAAAGAACTTGAATACTGTCTGTAGTTTACGCGAGTAGTACACATTTATATAAAACACTTTAACGGTTTAAAACGCGATATATTTTAGTTAAACTTGTTTATAAATTACTTTTAAGTACGACCCGACGTTTCGGATGCTTTGCAGCAGCCGTGGTCACGGGGAGACCACGGCTACTGCGACCACGGGGGAAAATGTATATCGCGTTTTAAACAGTTAAATTGTTTTATTTAAAAGAAAGAACTTGATTAAGAAATAAAGAAAAAACACAGATTTCAATAACAAATTTATTTTTAAATTATAGGATTTAGGAATCACGTGATAATCATATTTTATAAAACTACCTACTGCTTTTATGCCACTAAGTACACCGAAAACGAATATCGTATTATTATGAGCCCGTGTGATTAGATTATTATAAATAGACAACAGCACATTTTGCATTGATTTCTTAATTAATATTGGACATATAAAAATGCTTGCGACCGAATTAAGCAACAAATAAATCTTAAATATATCTGGAGTTAACAATGCATATACAAAACGAACAGTTTTAAACGGATTGAAACGCGAACTATATTAATGAATTAATGATCCACGTGCATATTTGACTTTCCGGAAGTCAATTTGAGTAGCAACTAACACTTACTTCCGGAAGGTCGAATATTTTAAAAATAACGAACTTTAGTTATAGTACACATTTCTTCCGTCTTATTGTTTTACTCAATCTCACAAATTATAAATTGGGCCAAATATTGTACTGTATGCGTGACACAGCTTAAACAGTAGTTAGGACGAACGTACAGAATACACATATAAAACTTTCATATTTAACGTTATTAAAACTACACAATTTATATTACGGATCACAAAGGAAAAAAAACAATACATTCTAGACATCTTTAAGTAGATTTTTTTTTTAATTTGCACTGTATTTTGCATTCCTTATTGCGTAATTAGAATTAAATTTTTACTATTTTGTGGGTTCAAACATTTTAATTTCGACGCCTCAAGAGAAGGCAAGTTGAGGCATGTTTATCAAGCATGCATTAGTATATCCCATAGTTAAAAATAATTATAACCAACACTTTAAATTTTGATAATTTATAAAATACATAATCTCTTCAATTTTTCGAGTAGTCAACGTAAATATAATTCTTTTAAGGCAAGAATGTACGAGGCACTGATAGGTAAGAGACAACGAGTAACTTCGAACTTGGACATTTTCAATGGCATAAGAGATTTACAACTTTTATTCCATATATTCAAATTCTATATATCCAAAGTCACTCATTAAGTGAATAAAATTTATTTACAATTGGAATCATTATTTACAAATAGGAGTAGAAAATAAAAATAGTACAATATAAACCTCTCTAACATATTTCTAATCTTGATTAAAAAGACGCAATGTTGATTTTAATGAATACGTTTTGAGAAAATAGACTTTTAGACTATAGTGGCCTTATTTACATAATATTTGATGGTGGGGGGTTATAACGTGAGAGTATATTGATTTCAAGAAGTCGTACTTAATTTTATCTCCCGTTCAGGGACGGCTCAGGCCAAAAGCAAATCCCCCCCCATCCTCTCTCATAGGCCACTGCTTTATTCAACGTACAATTAATTTGCATTGAATTTTTCTACTCTGAATATAACGTGTATACATTGAAGTCTTTTATAAATGCCTGTATATATTATTTAATCATAACAAAATCGATCAAATCAATTATCACAAAATGCTGCTTGTAAAATGCGTTAAATTAATACTGTAACAAAAACAACCATATTGTGCTTGTATAAGGCCCGATGTCGTGTTATGTAAACAGCGTTTAATACACGTATTTTTTTAAGTACTTCTTAAGTACCGTATTTAAGTTAATGAAGTAATTCTAATGACTACGATATGGACGAATGCTTTTCTAATGAATTATGGAGCCTTAAATCTATAAAAATAGTTCCAAAAGTGTTTTTTTTATTTACATAAATATAATAACATTGGAATGTCGAGGTGTAGATTTTAAGGATAGCATAACAAATATTTTTTTTATGTGAAGAACCTGAGTGGGTGTGTAAAGCATAGCGCCGTGTCCAACAGAATTACACTTTATCGGGATTCGATCCTAAGACCTCCGCTGAAAGAAACGCACCGACGTTTTAAACAACTGAACGACTGAGATGTTCGTAGGCAGACTTTAAATGCTATTCACTATTTAGCTATAAATCTTATAATTCATATTAGTTGTGATTGTAAGAACACAACAAAGGATTATAATTAAAAATTACAATAGTGAAAAGTCAATATTTGTTATGCTAACCCTAAACACAATTTTGAAACACTGGATATATCTTAGGTATAATTTATTACAACACATTCAATAAGAAATACGCGAAAAACAATTTTATACAACTCGGTCGTTATTCGTCTAGCTTTGAACACCGCACATATATAGATGTAAATACTTATAGAGGGAAGAGTATACATTGAAAAAAGGTTTCACTTTCAAGAAAAAGCAGTAAAATTGGCACCTAAAAATTAGTCATATAATCAATCTATTCAATATCAAGGAATGAACTTAATTTCGCAGTGAGCCCGTATTTGTACAAAACTTAACTATGTAGGCGTGATTTGATTAAGCTTATACACCTTAAAACAAAACTTCACGATATTGGGGTTTCTGTTTGTTGAAATTCGCGCTTTTAAATGCAGTGGCCCCCTATGAATGTCAACACTCGCTGTATGCCCAGAACAATTTTACGCAAATAAATAATCATGACTAAATCTATGGATGACGAAGTTGATATGAAATTAGTAAGGCCAACGAGACGTAATAAAAAAGGTATGCAAACGCTTGGAGCTTCAAAACATTTTTATTACTTCCTATTCTGGTCGTGTGCTGTATTAAACAATTATTTCTTTACAAAATGGCGAACCAAATGTTGACAACTGATGTCGAAAGCTAACGTTTGATTTCAAAGCGTTAGATAACTCAGTAACGGTGTAATTTTTACTCTTTTCACCTCGTCCCATTGGCCCTTACGTATATAGTTTTACGCATATAAATTTATCAAACAATTTTTATACCGTACACAACAATGTTACCAGTCTTAAGTCTTGAAGGATATGAATTGTCCAAGGAAGCAGTCGTGATAAATAGGTGAACAGCATCGTGTCTGAACATTTGTCGAGAAAGAAATGTCCAACAGAACTGTAAAATTACACTGGGCTACTCTTTTAACAATATCGAATCACAAGTATCAACAATTTCCAATCCAGTCCACAGACTATATCACATTTCAATATAAATAGGCACTTTCTGCAAGATTAAGTTATGGAAGAAAATTGATTTAGCAGTGAAAAGGAGCAACAGTCATTATCCATATTGGAATGTACGAAAGGCGAAAGGATCACATATAACACTTAGGAAAAGATATTTTTAACATTTATTACATGTACAAAACCTGCTCAAAGGCATAACCCCCCCCCCCCCTTTACTTTCTTTCCACTGATATTTCGATCCGCGAAGTAGCATTGCTTATAATAAACCATTGAGCTCTTATAAATCTATCACACGTTAGCAATCCCACCGCTGGGAATGGCAATGTACTCGGCAATTAATCGATTTTTACGTATCGTCTTCAATCAACAATACAGCTAGATAAAGAACAGTACCAGTAAACGATAGGTCTGAATACTTATTACTATGTTTCATAAGCGTCAAAGGTTGCTTCTGTAGCCCATTTCAGGCCAAAAACGGACAAAAAATGGCAATAAAAAGGTTTTGGAAATAATGAAATAATAGCCACTGTACTTTATAAAAAAACAGTAAATAAATTAGGTTGTAAAAATAATTACTGTATTTTTGGTTACTTTCGACCTTAGAGCCAACTGAGGGTAGTAGCAAAATACATGTGTACTTTTGAATAATTGAAAATCAGTGCTTACATGAGTCCTTAGTCGAGCTCTATCTAGTTGTACTGTTAATAGATTGTCAATGTAATATCATTTTAAACACGTCTTTACATTCTTTGAACTTGGTTACATAATTATGCAGCATCTGTGAGACTTACTATCGCCTACGACGTCGCTCGTGTGCCCTGAAAACCTAGGCACAGTTCCTGAACTCGGCGATAAGATCGACGGGTTCTGATCCTTCTCCGAAATTGAATTAAGGCTGTGGTTGTTCGAATTCATCGTAGATTCGACAGGGCTACCGTTCGTTCTTATCTGCGCGCGTTGTTTCTTCAAGTCCGCGAGGGTGCCTGTAAAGTTAAGACTATTTCTTAGTACTTAGTCTTGACAAGGTTTCACATGAAAGCAGACTACTAAAAAGCATTCATCGATATGTGCTGAACAGGAAATATGTACACAACATAATTACAGTGTTTAAAAGCGAATTAACTCTAGACACAGAAACGATATGCAGAAGCGTGAAAGTACGTCACGTAATGTGTTATATGGCACAAAAATGCATACATATATGTACTTTTGAAGATGACACTAAAATTTATTCAAAATTTAACGAAGTAACTAACTTTAAGATATTGGGTTTTGAGCGTCATTTTATAAATATTGCGATTTATATGTATAACATTACATTTTAGCCGACTTATTAAATAATTTCAAACGGGTGGAAACGCAATCTATATTATTGAGTAATCTTTGACTACATCCAAGCAATTCGCGCGTCTTAGCAGTCGTGATCATAAGGGAACTCATCTTGCAGAGAGAAATGAATATGCACGCCAGTTGAGGCTATTAGAGCCAGAGTGGCCTAATAAAAAAAAACAAAATTTTCAATAAGAATGAAAATAAAATAACCCAACTTATGCGAAAACAAATTTGTACTAGTTGTAATTTTCGGTTACTGTACTCATGTAGATTAACGTTTCAGACTATCAAAAATAAAGTCAAATTACAAAATTGCAGTTAGGCTACTCTGGCTCTAGCAGCCTCAGTTGATATACAGATACAATATGATAGAAGCGAAATACGAGATAAAGCGGAATGCTCATTTGACTACATTACTAGTACAGTCCATAATATAAGCACAACTGTGACGGAATGTGTTTCTCAACGTACACTTTCACGTGCGTTTAACAGACATTAACTGATTTTCATAAAAACCACGTTGCTGTATGAAAGTATAATAAATGGCAATTAAAATTACGCAATTATTACTTAACAGAGAATAAATTGGGCGTGTCATGCATTAGATTTTGAGAGACGTTAGCGTTGGGACCGTCTATTACTACGGTAAATATTAAAAGGGTCTAGAATTAAAATATGTACTAAAAAAACGTTCAATCGATTGGTAGTATTTCGTTCTTAATGAAAGAAAACACGTGTGACTCTAGCTTTTAAACATGTAACTTGAGAAAAGCTTAGCTTTTAAATAAAACACTTTAACGGTTTAAAACGCGATATATATTAGTTAAACTTCTTGGAAAATAATTTTTATCTTCGGCCCGATGTTTCGGATGCTTTGCAGTAGCCGTGGTGGTGACCACGGCTGCTGCAAAGCAGTTTAAGTGTTTTATTTAAATGTGTACTACTCGCGTAAGCTAGACAGTATTTAAAAGCTTGGCTTCTCATTATTTTTCATTTATACAAGAGGTTGTCATACAAAATATTTTTACTATTTTCATATTTCGACCGTTGTTTATGACAAATAGAGAAAGATTTGATCTACACAAAACTAATCTACAAAACGATAACACATAAGGAACACTAGACAACTACTAAGGAGACGTCTTGCCTCATATGCATCCTCAAGATATCCTCCGCTCGCAATGCCTTTGAATATATAACTGTGCACAATTGTTAGATTCGTTCTTAATTTATATTACTGTATTAGTCTGGCTACCTTTCAATATTTTAATACGTTTTACACACAACAAATTCATACTAAACAGTCACCAGACGCCTTAGCCAAGCTCGTAAAAATAAAACGATAAAGTAAAAAAAAAAATATAGATTACGATGTTGTGCACCCTGCAGGTGAAGAACGTGGGGCAACTTTGGGGCTTTGTGTACTCAACCCGTAAATTTGACTGGTGGGCTCTTAAGAGTATTATATAGAAGCCGACTTGGCTGAGATCCCTCCAAAATTTTTTAAGGGGTTAAAACAGTAAATTTCCTAATTAGCTTGTAACAAGCTGTTCTGATCTGGTGGGGTGGTTATATAGTCAATTTCACCACAAGTTTCAACTTGATTATCGTTTTGTGTTATTGATGACTTGACCACGGCACCTGGCTGACATTGACTCTGACGGCTTCCGATTGTGTTTTGATTTCAGACCGAAAAGTGACCAGATCGTACGCAAGTTAAGTGCAAAATGTATAGTGCTAAAATACATTCGTAAGGATGCATATAATTACCTGCGTTAATCATGACGGTGACATGAACATTGATTTTACCATTATTGTCTGTGGTGTATGTGGCCGTACTGCCGTCGGCGATCGCAATCTGGCTTGGTATTACCAGCTCTTTCCTACCGTCGAGGGCGTCCTCGCTTTTGAACCCTTCGTTGTCTTGGCCCTCCGGCGCTTTCCGGACGCCGTTGGGCAGGGTGCGTTCGTACATTTTCTCATTTTCCTGAATCGTTTGTATCGGGGCCGGTGAATAATGCGACGCCGCGTTCACACCGAATAGGGGATTCGTGATTTTTGGTTGGGTGTAATTCTCATTTGATTCCAGTTCGGCTTGTCGGTGTGATCGTTGGTAGGGCTGTTTCGGTATGGCATAGTCGACGTTTTCGGACTCGTAGCTTTGGTTTGATGTCGTCGAGCTTATTGAGAGCCTTGTGTTTGTTAGATCGGCTGATACATTTGTCTTCTGTTCGCTGTCACCGTTCGTTAAGCCCTGTAAAGCAAAAAAATATCAAGTTCATAACTGTTCGCTTCACTGGACAATATAATTCTAGGTAAGGCCGTGATAATTTCATTTGAATAGATACAGATAAACTAGTAGACTATGTAATGTATATTTTGAAAATCATGATAAAAATTTTAAAAGACATGATCCGTTGGTCCGGTTGTGAGTTTAATTCTACAAAGTTTACCATGATATAAATATTTTTATGTATTCCTTAACGCATTAGACACAACCTTTGGAATGTCTAAACTTTAGCTCATTGGTATTAGGAATAACGAAATGCCGTCGAAACAATCGTGACATGTTTCGTGTCTATAACAAAAATAGATACATTTCACCTTCCATCAAGAGAATTGTATAGTTAGTGTACAATTTTAATTATAGTATTTATGAGTAAAAGAATAAACAGGTATGATGTTATTCATACCTGTTTGTTCTCTCGCCATCTCGTGCTGTTACGCAGGCGATGATTCAAAGTATATGTTAAAAGTAATCTACATCATAAATAACACCAAATATTCTGTTTGCAATAATGAGATGACTAACAAGTAAAGACGCCCAAACATTGTAAATCTACTGTGTTTAAATTTTATATTATATTTTAAAGAAAATGAATATGTGTAAGGTTTCTAACAATTAGTTAAAATTAGTAATAAATACCAATTAATTAAATTTTCTGATTACCTTACCTGTGGTTAATTAACTCTGTTGTTAACAGGTGGCATTTGTATATAGCATTTATAAAGATTCTAAATGAACGAAATCATCGGAATATAATACAATAATATTTTAATACGTATAAAAAGACGAAAGATATTTTACTATCAAATTTATGTTTGAGCTAAATTACATTCGAACGAATAAACACCATAGGAAACTCGTAAGATTTGTCTGTAATAGACGCGAATATTTATTAATTTATTCATGCATTTAAATACATAACTTTGAATGGTTTACAACCATAATATATTAGTTGATCATTTTTTAACTACGACTGACGTTTTGGGTGGTTTGTAGCAGCTGTAGCGAAGGAGGACAGGACTTTTAAATAATTTATTTCAACGAAATTTGTATTCAAAGTAACTTGCATTTATCGCGGAAAATACACTTAAATATATAAAGATTTATTGGAAAAGACCATACCCTATATCTAAGACCCAAAACCTCCGGCTCCTTACGCCCACGGTGCAAGTTATCGTTCGTCAAAAACATAATATCCAACGACATTTTGTAACACGCTCACCAAGACACTACCACATAAACATTAGTATCACACTTATCTATATCATAATGCATTATAGGACACAGAGTACGTTAGTCCGTCCGTCCACATGGAGACGTCAGGTCCGCGCTGGTGTCGTGCGTTAGTGCCTCGCGAGGGAAATCGCAAGAAAATCGTGATGCGTTCATCGGAACGGCATTTTAGTAGCGCGTAGAGCTTTATCTGCTTGAATCATTGTTTACTTTGTGACGGAAAACTTTGGTTTAAAGATTTTTAATCCCGAGGTTACAAAACCATATATTGTTTCATAAAAAAAATCTTATATAAATATTTTTTTTAGTAATTATTATGTGAATGAAAATTTTATGGCTTATATAAAATAAATAAATATTTAACTATTCCTGGATGTTTTCATAGTACCGTGAGAGAGTTGTAAATAGTTGCAGTCAGATCACAAGAGCAATAGATAGTGGATAGATAGATAGAATCGATGGCATAGTTATCTGATGGTTTGAGATCCGCTTTTTTCATCTAATTATTTATTTCGTATAGCATTATGATGTATGAAAAATCTTATGTACTAACGTATAAGCCGGCCTTATTGCTAAGCAGCGATCTCTTCCAGGCAACCTGAAGTACAGGAGAAAAGAAATAGAAAAATACTTATTAAGTAAAAGTGAGACTAATTACTATAAGTAATACGTAACGTGTTCTGAACACGTTATGTATTAGTTATAGTGTAGGTGCACATTAAATACAGCAATGCGTATAAAATAGTATTCAATACAGTGTAGAATTAATTACCTAAATAATAAGTCTAATTATCGCGTAAAGCGGAGAAAGTACAGCCAACATAAAAACCAATACGTTGAATATTATTTATTATGTTTGCGGAATTTTGCGCAGTGACTGACGATGATAAGAATTTATAACAAATAATAGTGGAAAATCAATTATTATTATAACTGAAGCGTAAACTGAAATTTTTATTCATTTGTTGATAATTAAGTAACTTTAGAGATTCGACTTAAAAATACGGTGTACTAATTATTTGATACTAAGTTAATACAAAATGTATTTCAATTTGATGACCTCGTTGGTGTATGGCTAATGATCATCGGGCCGCGACTTCGATCCCTACCGGGGTTATACCAACCTAAATTTATCTAATCAATTTATAATTTTTCTGAAACATGTTGGACTTCGCCTGGTAATTTTAATATTAAATGGGTGGTAGGATTCTCTAAATTCTCTATGAGTGCGAACGACGAATTAACGTCCATAGCTGAAAACGCCGTGAAGTTTGATCGCATTATAGGTTTCAGTCTATTGATTTCCGATTATAAAGCCAAAATGGGTTATATGGCTGGAGTTTTTCACCTACCATCAGGCCTTGCTTGTCTATCTTACTCTATCATAAAAAAACAACATCGTAGGAGCAACACAGTACATAATAGGCGTGGGTTCAATTCAAGCTTACGGTAACTATTTTTATCAAAATAGATTTAAAGCTATTATATACAAGAACATGAAAATAATGTTACAAGTATTTGATAGTAGGTTGCAATTAATACTTTAAATAGTTTCAAATTTGTCTGAATAAACATGACTAAAATATACAGAGGTCGTTATATCGAAATTGCCTCTTTCACACACATTAATTTTTCCAACAGTCACAACTTCTCAGAAACGAAGAAACGGCTCTCATCGAATCAAAGCAATTGAGTTTAGCAAATACCTCCAGCCAATTAGAACCGATCTCAATAGTTGCTCGCGCATATGTCCGTTCTACTTGTAAATATATACTTTGATTATTCTCAATTATCGCTATTATACAATTAACGCTTGGCTTTCACTGCACACTAGTTTTCTAAAACAAACATAAAATAGCAGCGTGAAATCCAATAGCGTAGTAGACACGTAGACAAAGCCATATCTTTCTGTATCTGTTTCATTTTTACCGGGACTCAAACCAAAGACCTTAACGCAATGCGAGTCTCGAGGTCATAGGAATACTAGACTAATAGGTCTCGATTTAAACTTTAAAAAGGTATCACGACGATATAACATTTTTTTTTACTTTCGATATTAGGTTTTATAACGTAACTAAGTTATAGTATATAATATGTGAAATTTAATTGTCGACGCATCTTTTCCGACAGTGGAATTTTATCAATAGACTGGGTAAGATTATAAATGTAGTAGTAGTTTTTGTAACTTGACATTTGTATTTTTGCATTGACGTTGAGTGAACTACTGTTAATCTTAGTTATTCCGCTGTGTAGACAGACTAAAAAGTAGCTTGGCTTTTTGTCTAGCGTCAATCATAAACTTTAATTTTACGCCAAATGAACATTTTTATTGATATTAAATTTGTTTTTATTGTTATAACAGTTAAATCGTGTCGTGCATGACTAGATAGATAGAAACCTATTTTCATTGTCAATACAAGGAAATTTGACTTATAAAATATGATGATTTATTTAGGAAATTATTTAAAAGTAATCAAAAACGTATTTGATGTAATATACGAGTACAAGACATTCAATTAAAACACTTACAGTTGTTGCAAATTATTCAAAACGTAGGGCCGTAGCGTAAATACATTAAAAATAAGTTAACTAATATAATTTGCGTTTTAAACCGTTTAAAATAATTTATTTAAACAAAACACCTTTTCTACATGTTATATATAACAAAATACCTACACCCTTAAACGTATATAGCAAATAATAATTGATCTCTTTGAAAATTACATACAAATTAATACATATAGTTACACAACAGAGATAGTATCGCTGAGATGACCTAAAAATTCATTGAGATATACTAGCAAATGAGTTTTAATTAACATAAGCATTACTATGATCGCGACAAGCGAATTACGAACTCTAAATGCATGATACACTATGATATAAAGTCCAACACCCTGTCTTGGGACATACATAAATCTCTTTTATATTGCGTATCATATCTACGATGAAGGAAACATGGTTGTTACAAGATAAAGACTTCATAAGAGATCTTTTCCTTAATTATGAATCGCCCTAGTTTAGACGTAGTCTCTCTAGATTACGTGACACGTACGTACACATTAAAATAAAACCAATTTAAACAACGCGATTTATTCCCCAATGACCGCAGAAAAGTACCGGAATCCTCGGATCATCAGAAAACTTTATTTGCTCACGATGGATGGCATGATATAAATTAATAATATATTTACAATTAAAAAAATAGACAAGGCGAGACCTGAACCGGCATCCACAATGGTCCGTCCGTGTTGCTTTCACTCGAGATTCGGTGAAAATTAGTAACACTTCGTCTGGAAGTGGTAATGGGTGGTAGGAATATCAAAATTGCGTCCGGGTCGCGAACCCACCGTCCACAGATAAAATTCGCGTTTTGATTTCAGTCTGTGGATTTCCGAATATCCAAAGTCAAAAAAAGTCGGCATCTTGCTTAGATATTATATGGCTGGGAAATTATACCTCGGCGGGACAGAGGTGCTGCTCAATCATAAATAAATAATCAATATATATCATATTTCCATGCAAAACAAAGCATAGCATTGACCATCATGTCTATTGAACCGACATGGCCAGGTTTCCTTTTCACGGTCGCTGACCTAGTTTACACGCGGTGTGCACAAAATTATCAGCCCCACGATAAACATATCTGAGATACTATTCTCAACTTACACGTATCATCAACTGTTTAGATTTTAATTTGAGTTACAAACAAAACAATCTAAGACTCAAGAACTAGGTAGTTTGTTATATGCATGTTGTGTAGTAGAATATTTTTTGTAAAGAAGTTAAGCTCTTTGAAAACGAATATAATAAGTTATTCAATCTACACGCATTAATTTATAGAAGTCAAGATGTCCTAAGATACCATACTTTGCTTTTATATGTCGAATTTCAGTTAGAGTCACAATATTCATTTGACCAGATATGAAGTACCTCCTATCTCCTGCCCTGGAGACATTAAGAATTTCTTCGATAAACTGGCTAAAAGTTTTAATTGCTTAATAGTAATATGCATAAAAGACAATTCTTTTATACTAATTTGTACTGTACGTTGTACTTACACAAATGTACCTGTGTAAGTCTTTACAAGTATTATTAAAGCTCGACTAACGCATCGGTAACTTGTATCATAATTTAAATAAAACACTTTATCGGTTTGCAGCAGCCGTGGTCACGTTTCTGACGTCTCCCCGTGACCGCGGCTGCTGCAAAGCATCCGAAACGTCGGGTCGTAGTTAAAAAGAAATTTCAAAAAAGTTTTATAATACAAACCTTAATCAGGCAACGTATTTGATACACTCTAATAGTACTGACCTGATACTCGTCATCTACAGCGGAGTCGAAGGTTTCCCTCAGTCGTGCCTCACCACGGGCGTCCGCCTTCGCGGCCATTTGTTTTTCCCGCAGCGAAGTCCGTCGAACGGAACGCACCCTGGGGATGTACAGACTTTAGTAAAAACTCGGTAGATGGCGTTGTAATCAATAGTTTAGTGCCTTAAAGGACTGTAATATACTTTTCATTGGATTCAAATAAAATAAAATTGTGTGATCCAAAGGCGAACATTTACAATGGCAGCATGTAAATGTTGAACATATTTTATGTATATTATTTATACATCGTTATTTCGTGAATGTGTACTCTATGTATATGTAAGCATAAAATAACGATTCATGTTTATGCAATGGTAATTTTGCAGTGTACACCAATTAATATCGTAAAGCTAAGAATCAGTTTAAAAATTCTAGCAAACCTAATATTCTTTTTACTTTTAGGAGTGACATTAAAGGTTTGTTTATTAATTTAAAAGACTAATATCACAAAATAATTATGTATAGGCATCATGTAAAGACTTGATGTAAAGAAGGCCTTTTGTAATTATCAGAGTCAAAACGATAAAATTATTTTTTCGCTACGTTCGTCGCTTTTCCATGTAAAACGCATCATAATTGCCATTTAAAGTAGTGCGATGCAAAAAATCAATACAATCATTAAAAGTAAATTCTTTAAGTAAAAAAACTTGCCTCAACAAGATTGATAATCGAAAGTAGATTTAATGGAGAGCTTCATGCAAACGTATGCAAGAACTCAAACAAATAATTTCAAGACAACTAGCCGAATGACTGACCTGCTAGTGGAAGCGGTAGAAGACGATCGCCTCGCAGTACGCAGCCTGTCTCCGGCGCCGCTGGCTGCCCGACGTCTCACCTCCTCTTGCTCCGCAGCCAGACGCGCTATTCGAGCCCTCATCTCGCCTTCCTCACAGATATCTGTTAAACGTCCAAAGAGCAATTAATCTAAGCAAATGACTAAATGCTCCTAAATTTAACACAGGCATAAGTAAGTGACACAATTTGACGGGCTCGAAGGTGTAATGGTATTAATGGTAATCAACGGGTCGTGGGTCCGATCTCCACCGGGTCCAACATGATTCCATTAAATTTATATTTCTTCTGAATCGTCTGGAAAACTAAATATTAAATGGGTGTTAGAAATATCGAAATTCCGTACGGGTCACACACCGTCCACAGATGATAAAGCTGTCAAGTTTAATCGCGTTTCGATTTCAGTCTGTGGATTTCTACTCTATCATAGAAACAACAAGCAATCCAAGGCATTATACATATTTTTGATCTCTTATTATATTGCATTGAGTAAGCAAATAAATAATATTGAAGCAAACTAATATTTCACCGTAATATGACATGTACATTTGTAGTATGGCATAGTTTATACAAGTAAAAGTTCAACAAACCTGCAGGTGTTTCATCGTGCTTATTTCTTACATTGAGATCAGCTCCATATTGTACTAATAGTTCTAATACTTCTAACTGCAACAAAAAATACAAAACACTTTTAACGGTTTAATACGTGAAATATACATGACCAGGTGAGCCTGCTGTAAAGCAATAGCATTTTAGACTTTTTAATAGTAGTTTGCAACACAGCATTCAAAATGTTCATTTCTAGCCATTATATATGGTAATGTTATTTTCGCATACTTTGAATGATAAGTAAAAGAAAGTAATTCTTTCATGTACGTAATATTAAACAATTCATAGTTCATAGGCATAACGATATTAATAAATCACTTTTAAATAACCAGACTATATCAAAAGTTAAGTGTTTTATACAATGACTAGCTGTGCCAGCGACTTCGTCCGCGATCATCGTTATTTTGGGCATCCAAATTAGTTTTTCGAAACCCCGTCTTTACAAACATGAACTGTTATCTACGTCTATCGCGTCCCCTCCCGGTGTTCTTGCAAGTTAATCTTAAAAGATAGACCTATATGCCTATATGTCGTCATTTTTTCAGATCATTTAAAAAGGAATCATTTTTGATACACATTTTCTAGGTATCTTGAACCGTTTTCGCAGCGTACGCAACTGAAACCCAAAGAGATGAAAAATAAAACGGGGGAACCGTTTTATTCACATTTCCCGCTATACCTTCGCTTCTATTAGTCACATCACGATATATTAAAGCTCGATATATGTTCTAGCCAACACAAAAGGAAGTTTTCAATTCGAACCCGAGATTAGCGCCTTCAAACAAACAAACTCTTCAGCTTTATATATTAGTATAGATAACGCTCGTAGATCAAGACTATCTATACTAATATTATAAAGCTGAAGAGTTTGTTTTTTAGTTAGATCATTTGTCGAGGAAGACTATAAAACATCATGTTACGACTGGTAAGAGCGAAGAAACAGTGAGACACTTAGAAAAAACTGGGAAATTATTCATCTTCGAAGGTTTTTATTGCTCAAGCGGTTCAAGTTTACGAAAAAATATGTATAAAAGAATGTGCGAAAGCCCGTTTCCCCCTCGTGGGGCATGGGGCGAACACATTTCTGTGTCCGTTTCACTGATCCGTTCTTTTAACGGGCAAGTAGTTGATCTATCTATGCCCTGCCCGACCGAAAAATTTTTTTTTTTGTTTTGCTGGGATTTGAACACTAGGCAATACGTTAAACCATTTGTCTACAGATGCGGTCATATGTACAAAAGAATGGTCTAAAAAAAATCCGCGATTGTATTTATCTATCTCGATTTTGGGCAACATGGCATCCATGTTGCCCAAAATAACAATTTTACGCGGAAGTCGCTGGCACAGCAAGTACGGAATACATTTAATGCCCACAAAAAAATAAATTTCCTTAAAATGTACATAGGTATATAGAATAATATTCTTCGTAAGAAAGTGACCATTATTAATGTAACTATTAACATTGTAGAACACTTGTTAGTAAATAATACTAGTTAAGTAATAAAAGAAACGTTACATGTCCCCAGCAAGCTGCAGCATGGACAGGCTGCCACATATCATGGTCGACAACGTCTGTTGATGCACGGTGTTCGAGAAGGAACTCCACGACCTTGAGGTAGCCATTTGCTGATGCGATGTGTAACTAAAAAAATAAAACATGAGTTGACAAAGGCAAACAGGACCATGTAAGCACATGTTAGAAGAATGCCTTTGCCCACATAGAATCATGGTGAAATAAACAAATTTCCAAACTCAATCTTTTTTAACTTGAAATTGTTTCGTTTATTGTACTAAAACACGAAATGTTTAAATTCAAAATCTATTTAAATGGAAGAACGCCAAATTGACACGGGCGGGATATGAACCGGCATTCACAGCGTTCCGTGCTGCTGCTCTAACCGTGTCCTGTTATATAGCCAGGACTGAAGGCTGTGGTGCCGATTCGACTCCCGACTATGTCTTTAAAAAAACCTTATTATCTTAATAGATTTTCAATTTTTATAATACCATGCGCTTAAACACGTGAAAAATATCAAAGCTTTCAACTAAATGTATATCGAAAACAATCGCACTTTCGATTTTATTATACGTATGGATTATACAATCTGTGTTTCTATTGTTGATTATTTATGTTTGATAACGGGTTTATGTTTAAAGAACTTATTTTTAGATTTATTATACCTTTGATAGTACACAAATTACATAAATATACAAGATACATAAATATACAAGAGATACATAATCTTAAAGTTTCATTGCCGGAAAAACTATTTACGTCGTCATGAAAAGGCCGTGAACTTAAATTCACTCTATTACTCGTAGTTACATAGCTTGTGTATGTCTAATTCCAACGCTAATAGAAGTTTAAATTACAGTTTATAATAACAGCAGTTTCTATTACGAAGGTTAGCTTTTATTGTATCTTTTTCTACGTCATGTCATTTAGATAATATCAAAAGAAATTCATGAACTATCATAGTTTTACAGAATATATTACAAATATAATAAACAGATATATATACGTATATAATAAACAGATAAGAAAACGTGGTCATATTGTGTTTTGACAGGTGTTATAAGAAACACCGCAAGGATTCACAAACAGCTGATTTCTCTACAAAATGGTTTATTCGTATAAATTACAAGTCAAATAAAAAACGCTTCATTTTGAAATTTGAATGATCATAATTGATAAAAAAGGGATTAAAATAGGAAAAACTACTTTTAGATACGATAATATATCTTATTTTATTTGCTAAAATATCGATGCCAATCTTTTAGTTACTTCTTTATGCGTTACTTTACAAAAAGAACAAAATGTAATATTTATAAAAATCCTTTAACTCTTTAATATTAACAAGTTTCAACAATGAATTAAGACAGCCTTTCTTTTATCATAGTCTGTTATTGTAAATAGTTAATGAAATGTTTTCTTTCTATACGTTATCTATAAATAAATTGAAGTGAGTCATCTAACTTACAAGTGTCGCTCCCTGGCTATCCCTCGGTTCATCCAAATCCATGGCGGCCTTAACCATTTCCGCTATATCCATCAGCATTTGCATCTCCGTGGACGCGCGGGTGTCGTCTATCAACCTCTGCGTCACTCCTCTCGCAGCCATTTCACTTTCGATCGCGTCCAGTGTCCTCTCCTCCTCACATATATCGTAGGGCATATTTCCATCACCGTTCACAGCCAATAAATTCGCACCTCTTTGTATTAATATTCGTACTAAGTTCAGGTTGCCGCACGTAGCTGCTGCGTGGAGCGGCGTCCACTTCTCGCTATCTTCAGCGTTGACGTTCGCGCCATGGTCTAGCAACAGCCGCATCATTGCTTCGTTGTTGTCTATGCAGCATTGGTGCAGCGCGGTTAAGCCGTCCTCGTTTGTTGCGTCTGGTGTTACACCACGAGCCAGCAGACGTCGTACTGAAATAATTCACATTTATACTAATTTATTTCTATATGAAAAATAGTTCGCTGTTTCAAAAATAAACTGTCTATAGTTTACATTTAAATAAAACATTTAAGGGTTTAAAACGCGATTTATATCATTTCGGTTATTCGGGCCGTAGTCAAAATAATTTTCATCCTGGGGTGTTTGACGTTGGCCAATCTGGAATCCACAGACTAAAACCGAAGTGTGGAACAGGTTACAATAATTTCTTTTAATCAGTGGTTATTTGTGAATCAAATTTAATGTGTTTTTTACACGACAATCAACCTTGCCATGGGTATAAGTCATACGTTACCTGAACCTTCATTTACTGTAATCCGAAGGAAATATATTGTAAGTAAATAATTATAACAAAGTTGCTTCGCTAAATATCAATATGACGATGCCTTTGCGTCACCTTATGTGCATATTATATTCACAGTACCTCCTTCGTTCGCTTATCAATGTAGGACCTATGAAGTATACTTCAAAAATACTTTTTACTTTACTAGACGACTTCGCAAATGGCTTTTGCCATAGGAAAAATATTTCGTCTAAATTTGATTACCATAAACAGTTCTAAAGATTAGAGAAATATATATACACTAGCGCAAATTATTTTAGATTATTAATGAATACTTATTTTACTCGTACTTTTTCGGTATCTTGAACCGTTTTCGCAGCGCACCTAACGGAAACTAGCAAAGATGATCTCCATATTCAAAGGGTGGTAGAATTATTGAAATACCACCGTCAACAAGTGGAAATGTCGTGAATATTGGTTTAAATTGCGGATTTCTAAATATCCAAAGCCAAGGTAAGTGCAAGCAGCACATCTTGTTTATATTTATTTCATCAGTTCACGTAAAACCCTTGCTTATCACCCTTCCCCGCTTTTAAAAATCACTCTGCGACCAATATAAGCGAAGAACATGAAAAAATCTATATGAGAGAATAGAAAAAAGAAGATCATTCCTCTTTAACGAATCTACAAAAATGCCCGCGACACTGTATGTCTATCCTTTAAGAATAACTCGCAACAATTACGAGACGCGACCGACGTAGGGGATAACAGCTTAAATGTATAAAGATAAAGAGGAGGTTTGCAAAAACAAATTTGGATGGATAAACTATTCTAAGCGGACGAAGTCGCTGTCAAAGCTAGTACTTCATAAGGCAAAAGAACCTTTGCCAGGTCAGCTGGTGACGTTATATGTATACATCTTATTAAAGGATTTCATTACAAAACTGATACGTAAAAAACACATTTTTCCTACTGTGTGATTCTACATTATCTCACACAAACCAGAAGTCACTCCTAAAATTTAAGTCTCAGATAAGCCAGTTGGTGTTTCCGCTTCCTAGCGCTATGTACGATTACAATAATTCAAGATATTACGCACACCTTTTACATAATATCTTCAAGGAGATGACATCATATAAGCAAGCTCGATGTTTTGTATGTAATCCGAGCGATTATATTGACTTCACTAATCAGACTGTAATCCATTGATTTATTTAAAGATACAAATGGACTACAAAGTTAGCTCGGGTAAATGCTATATCAACATTGTTTCTGTTTTATAAGATTTAATATTGCGGAAGTTTGCTTGCCATTATGTTTCAAAGTATACAAAAACTGTTGGAATGAAAAGAGGAGTTTTTTTTTTCTTTTATAGAGGCGGACTGACAACACGCAGACACAAGCATTTCACTTGATAGTAGGAAATGCCTCAGCCATATAACATGTAAACAAGATGCGATATCGACCTATTTCGGCTTTGGATATTAGGAAATCCAAAGACTGAAACTGTAACGCGATTAAACGTTCATGTGTGGACAGTGGTCCGTGACCCGGTAGGAATTCGATATCCAAATTTCCAGACAAATTTTAACATAATTTAAAAATTGAAAATAAATTTAAAAAAAATTTTCGACTCGGGCAGGACTTGAACCGGCTGTTGCTCTACCAATTGAGCTACCGAGTCCTACACCTTATCGTCGATTTTTTTCAACTTATTGATACATGCACCTCTCGCGCAATGTAATTTCAACCTTAACAGTTGCGTATTAAGGTTCGATGTCTTATGCTTTGCAGCTTAAGAAATCATTAAAGATGAAATTACAAAGTTATAACGTTTGAAAACATGTTTCCGAAAATATAATGAAACGTAGTGAACTGACTGGCATCGGATCCCTAGGACCTACGATCCGTTGATTATTAGCCGAGTTACGGCGAGTACGGCCTATGTGTACTTTTTAATTATATTTTTGTGTAGTACTATGTATAAATCTCATTTAATATCCTAGTCTTAATGCCGGTGCCTTTTAAATATAATATTATTCACACTATGCCTAGAGCAAACATGCAGCGTCACAATGAGGTACATAATAATTTCTAATTATTAAGTGAAAGTTACATTCGCATCACATATATTTAATTACCACATACTACGTGTGTTGTAGGAGGAAAATACGAGCAATAAGAACCTGGACATTACTTTCACAAAACAATTAAGTCGAAGCTGCTCTATTAGTCAAAACAGAGCGAAATTGCAGAGTTGAACATGTATTAAAACGGTAGTTTTCCGTGAAGGAAAGTCGAAACTAAAATACGTTTAAGTTGAACTTTGTAGTTTGTGATTTAAGCCGTTAAAAATGTTTAATTGGAGGTGTGACACATATATAGGTCTATTGAGTTATAGTTTTAAAGTTTACAATAAAATAAAATAAAAACTAAGAAGTTTGAAGTTAGTGTAACATTTTCCTAAGAGATATCGTATTCGACAGGAAATATATTAAAAATCTACCACCAGAGGTCAGTTGTCTTGCAGAAAGCGGAAAAGATTGATTCAAATTCCGTGGTCCGGCACGGCAACGTGGGCTGATCGTTTCGTTTTTAATGAGAAGAGAACAGACAAGCACGGGGTTGCTTGGTGGTAGGTGGAATACCATAGCCATATAGCATCTAAACAAAATACGCTGTCGACCTACTTCGGCTTTGTATATTCTTATATTGTTTAACGAGGCTTAAATTCTAAGACAATCCCGTCTTGTTAAGCTTACCTTCTTCAATATCATTCCTCGCTGCAGCCTCAAGCAGCATAACACTATCGCTGAAATAGATACTCCTCTTGTTGCTCTTCTCTCTCTTGGGTTTGATTCTCGCCCATTCCTTCTCCCTCTGCTGCCATATCTTGAGCTGTTGCATGCGCCGTCTGTAATAATAGCGACAGATTTAGGTATTATCGGATAATTTTCTAATAATGCCATCATCGTGCACCTGCAGCCAGATAAACTTCATCCTATTTGAATAAACCGATTACACGGGTATTAGCTACATAAATATATACTAATATTATAAAGCTGAAGAGGTTGTTTGAACGCTCTAATTTCAGTAACCACTAGTTCGAATTGAAAAATATTGTGTTGGTTAGAATATTTATCGAGGAAGGCTTTTCGGCTATATAATATTACGCTTCGACAAATAAGAGCGACGACACGGTGGAAAATCGGAAACAATTGGGGAACATTATTTGACGTCGTGGTTTATTAAAAACTGCTTGTCTGTTTGTTTGTGGCGTCACGTCGTGAGAAAAACTATGATTTATAGGCTAGGGAGGAGGTCTGCAAAAAAAAAGATTATCAGCTAGTATATCAATATATATATATACCTGTATTTATACTTGTACATGTTGTAATGGTTAATATCTTTTTAATCCTTAAAAATTTTAGTCGTAATACGGTATTTAAATACAGGTTTTATTGTATACGGGCACAGTGTGTTGCAAATAAAATTACGAATTTGGTTATACACTTGTAAATCAGTAAACAACAATGCGCGACGATACGAGGAATGGTATTTGGCAAATACTTGTCGTTACTGATTACATTGACAACTGTCGATTTTAATTGACGTTTAGACAATAAAGATAAAAAATGCATATAAGAGTGATAGCATATCAATGCAATTCGCTTTAATTGTATCACAAGTCAGGATTCCATTTTTCATATAGTACGAAAATATTTCGACTTATAATTTTAAACTGTCTCGTTAAACATGGTAGTGAACTCGATAAAAGAGATGATAAGAAATACTGGAATAACAAAATTTCATCGTTGGTCGAGACACCGTTGGAGTTCCTATATGTAAGTAAATATTGGCAGGCAACACTCTGAACATAAAAAAGTATGTTTTTGAATTTCCCCGGAATCTTTATTTAAATTATACACAAATTAAGTTTTTCTGTATTTAAAAATATTGTCGTTTCTGCTCGACATGGACAGAGTAAAATTTTTTTGTAATTAACATTTTAGACAGTGGAATATATAAACATGTAAGTGGTTTTGAATATCCTTACATCTCCAGAACCCAGTTCTTTCAAAGAAGGACGAATAACACAGATTCAACAAAATTGTCTTATCTATAATAAAATCGATCGATAAAACAAAGACAGTAGTGTTAGAATTTCAAAGGTGGTCAACTCTAAAACAATATATTATTCTAAATCAGTTTTGTTAATACAAACGTATTATCAGGTCTTACTAGGAATTTTTAACCGACACAAGATAAGATTGCACTTATTAAGTAAGGCGATGTAAGCGGTTAAAAACGTTTAGAACCGGTTACACAAGTGGTCTGTAATCTTTACCCTGGATCCGAGTGTCGTATAATACTAACATCGAAACTGGGTCACTCGCAAAATGTACAACGGAATAAAACTTTATATCTGTATGGGGTTTAAAGAATTACACCTATTTTATAAAACCTCTTGACCTGGCAGACCTGCATCTAATCAGTTGGTCACTCTGTCATAGTGGAGAGTTTTGGAACACATTATTTTGAAATAAAAAACATGAAACATTTAAAATGTATGTAAAATGCGGTAGTACACTTCACACTTTCCGAGAATAATTTGAACCACTACTGCTACTAACAACCTAAAATTTTAATGTCACGATCTTATATACTCAGATAAAATTTAAATACTGTCTATAGTTTACGCGAGTAGTACATATTTAAATAAAACACTTTAACGGTTTAAAACGCGATATATTAGTTAAACTTATTTGGAAATGATTATTAACTTCGGCCCGACGTTTCGGATACTTTGCAGCAGCAGCCGTGGTCACGGGGAGACCTCTCCCCGTTAACTAATACATCGCGTTTTAAACCGTTAAAGTGTTTTATTTAAAGGATGAAATTTAGTTTCTAAAGTAGACCAGACTTTTGTACCTAGCCTGATTGAAACAATTTGTTTCGCCAGGGTTTAAAGCCTTCTCCTGGATACCAGAAGAAGCTAATAATTTTAAGCAATCTTAAAGCATCCTAACAGCTATCGAGATTTCGGGAGTTTTTAAATGATCATGATCAAGTACACAGTTAAATAAACATGGCGCCAAAAATTGTGTGAATCATGCAATTTCGCTTCGTGAACCGATTTCACCAAATTACCACTATACGTTACGGTGAGTAGGTCCAATCGATTTGTATCGAACGATCGAGCTTCAAATTTTTGATCTATCATTACTTTAAAACCTAATTTTCTCTTACATAAATCGTAATACTCCACTTTTTGATGTCACCTGTCCAGGAAAACTTCGTAATTTTAGGTTTTTTTATTTTAGGTTTGGGTCGAGACGTTTTTTCTCTTCCGTCCTTCGGTCAGGGGAGCAAAGAGAGGATTTCTTGAATACAATAATATTGGCCAGGCTCAATGGTGTAAAGGTAACAATGTATTCTTAATAATCAACCGACCGTGGCTTCGATCTCCACCGGGTCCAAAATTTTTCTACTATTAATTTTATAATTTTTCCTAAACATATTGTACTTCGTCTTGAAATCTAGGATATTAGGTAGACGGTAGGAATATCGAAATTCCATTCGCGTTACAAACCAACATCCACACAAGAGATAGCCATAAATTTTAATCGCATTTCGGTTTGTCTGTGGATTTCGGAATAGATCGCCAGCGCATGTTGAAATGTTATATGCCTGGGGTATTTCCCCCACCAACAAGTGGACCCCACACTCGTCAGTGGTGCCCCACCATAAAAAATGCGAATTGCATCCCAAATATGCATGCATGTAACACACACTTGCAAAATTACTTACATTAACATACATTCTTATTACCGCAATTGAAGTCCAATTGACACCGTAACAGCACTATCAGCGAATCCGATACGTTAATAAAAATCATATGCAACTGTTTTCAGTTGATGTTCTCAGTCTTTCAAAGTAGACTTTTAAATAAAACCACTTTAACGGTTTAAAACGCGATATATTAGTTAAACTTATTTGAAAATAATTGTTAACTTCGGCCCGACGTTTCGGATGCTTTGCAGCAGCCGTGGTCTCCCCGTTAGTGTTTTATTTAAATGTGTACTACTCGCGTAAACTATAGACAGTATTTAGTATAGACTTTATTTTAATACTAGCTGATCCGGCAAACGTTTGTGAAAACTTCATATTATGTTGATAAAACCCTAACTATTGGTAGTAGCCTGAAGTTTTATAGCCTTAAGGCATTTCTCGATAAATAGTCTATCCAACAAAAAAATATTCCTTAATTTTTTTGTTAAACGTCGAATCATCAGCGTTAATGGGTCAATGGTGGAAGGGAAGAAAATAGTCACTCTGAGACACACGGCTAAACAATTACGTGCCTTCAGTAAAATAGACAGAAAAGTCTGCCCGAGACAATTTATCTGAAAACGGACTATTTCACTAATCTAGTTCGAGATACGCTACAAAGTAAATATTTTTACTTAACAGGAAGCTTTTTTTAATGTTAATTACAACGCGACAATTAATATAAATGTACTGTTGTGACTTATATTTTAATAATGTTAAAAAATAAAAAAAGTAGTTTATTTTTTGTTTTTTTAACCTTGTATACTAATTCGTAGGTTTGTTATCGCGCAGAAAATAACATTGTCTCGTTCGGTCGAATTGTTTTAAAATCAATTACAGAATATCGGCAATCGCACGAATTTAATTTCCTCAAAGCCTTTAAATTTTCAACGCCTAATGAACAACCAACATGCAATTGTATAAAAAGTGAAAACGTTATTTTGACAGCGGAGTGGCCGTAAAGCAAACGTGTGCTTTACGGCCACTCCGCACTTGATCGAAAGTGAAGTACCGCAGCCCGACGTCGAATAAATATGTGCTGTCGATCTATTTTGACTTTGGACAATTGGAAATGTACAGACTGAAACAAAAAAAACAAGAAACGATTTACAAACATGCTGACTTCGGTAATGGATCCCACGACCTGTTTGTCTTTGGCGATACATTGCTACCATTGAACCTACACGTTTGTCCCATATACTAGTAATTCAGACAACGATATTAATAATCCAATAGACCACTCGCTAATGCGTTTAGTTAACTATGAAAAATTTAAATGACTTATTGAATGCTGTGTAATTACGCAGGTCCATTTGAGGAACAGCTTACTTACCGCTGCAAAGATAATTGATAGCGTCTAAGTTCTAGCCGACAAGCTAATTAACGATAAACAGCGACTGTTTTGCGGAAATGCAGGAATACTAAAACTGTGTATGTTTAACTCGTAAGGTTTTTAAAGTGGATTTCTTGGACTCCTTTGGGGTTCGGATTGACGGGCTCGTGGTTTTAATCGTAGCTATATATTATGAGTAATAACTTAGGTCATGGGTTCCGAAAGTCCAAAGCCAGAATAGGCCGACAGCACATTACGATTATACGTTACATCGCTGGGGTTATTTTAGCTCCAAATTTAATCTATCTAATATCTTCTATGTATGATATGTCTTGCGCATTATAATGTAAAAATTCTGAAATATTTAATTCAATTCCTTAATATTATTTATTATTGTTAAAGAAATCGTTTCTTTTATTTTGCAATAAGCTTATAAACCGAAACAATACCAGACAATATATCGCAATAAGTGGACAGCTCGATTTGAATATGAAGTATCCGTAATCTGCTTACAATCCTATCTATCATTTTTACACTGACGAACGATAACGTATCAACTAGACGTAGGATAAAAATTAGACAACGATTTTAGGAGAATATTTCAAGAATATAATAAAATCGGCTTCCCTACACAGTCTCTAATTTTAGAGAAATACGCTATAGATGAGTTTCAAAATATTATCTTAAACCTCTTCTTAAATACAAATTGTTTTTTACGAGTTGGAGTAATTCTACAAATGTCTATTATAAAAATAGGTACGTATCTACTTATGCTATAATAGATAAGTATTATTAAAAATATATTAAATAATTATAAATAATATAATACGATATTTTAACAAAAATTAGCCAATTGTTGTGGTTCAATAAGTAATTGTAGTGATTCATGGCGCTCTTTGCTTTTCAAACTGATGTTATCCGAACGGTTTGAGATAATAGAAGATAAAAGAATTTAGGGTACCAATCTGATTACTTCTATTACGCAGTAGAAGCTATTGGTGCATTTTTTTATGGTAGACGGGGACATACTAGCATAAGGTTTATTCACCAATACAACATATTTTGGCTTCGGAAATTCGTAAACGTATATAATCTATTTATTCTTCCTAAACTAAGTCTTTGTTTGATTCTTTCTTGATTGTCAGTTTTCTATGAAAATAGCATTTGCACCGGATTCAAATATAAGACCGCTCAACGTTTAAAAGCGTTACGCTCTAGAGCTCCTGAGTTCGAATCCGCGAAAAATATGCGGATGGCCGGAAAAAAGAAGTGTTCTGTGTCTATTACTTGTGTATAAAACGATTAGTAAAACAGACACTAATAGGTACACTTATGCCAAGATACACCTGATTCCAGCTTTCTTTTCAAAAATGTTTTTTCACAGATGATAACTTCGAAATACACCATATGTGAGGTAATATAACGCCATCGGCATCTGGCTTTTTGCAGAGGCCCAATATTAATACAATATTTAGCATGTCATAAAATATCATATGTACACGATACATAAGGTCCATAGTGTCTTACACGTCTAGTGTGGCCCCTCTTCATGCAACACAGCATACGTTACGGCGTTACGGTATATTTCATATAAGAATGCACTCAACCTTAAACACAAACCATATTGACCAGCTCATACTTCTCTTCCCGTATTGCTTGTCTAATTTACGTACTATTGTTATATATAAAGTTGAAGAGTTTGTTTGTTTGTATGTTTGAACGCGCTAATAGGAACTACCGCTTCGAATTGCAAAATTGTGATGGGTGGAGCATAGAGGAAGGCTATAACACATTGTGATGTCATAATAATAGCGAAAAAACAGCGGGTAATCATTCAACATTATGGGTTTCCGAGGCGTACGCTACAGAAATGGTTCAAGATACCCACAAAATATGTATGAAAGAATTAATCCTCTTTATATCTAAAAAAATGACAGCGACATTATATTTTATCTTTTAGATTTACTTGCAAGAACGACGACACGCAACCGACATCGTGGGTAACGGCTACAGTTTATAAAGACGAGGAGGTTACAAAATAACTATTCTACGCGGACGAAGTCGCTGACAACGCTTGTAATAATATATATTTTTTTAATGATTAGGTTTTTAGTCGAATAAACGTGAGTTAACTTTAAAGGATGACATCACATATTTTTTTATAATCACAAAAATGGCGGGTAGATGTCAGATTAAAAAATACGACAGCTAAGAAAGGCATTGTCCTCGCGTTAACACAATTTATGCAATAACTGACTTTACCAACAAGGTCGTGATCTCGACTGTTACAACATACATTTTATTAAAAGATAAATGTAATCCAAGGAATTAATAGCATACTCATAGGCTTAAGAACAAATGACTATAACTTCATGGCAAGTAATTTTAATAATAGACCTACATCTCGATATTAAGATACAACTATTAAATGGCAGTTGTATGAAATTGTGAGACTCAGATCAGATCTCTTGTTGTATTCTTTTAATTAAATAATAAAAAAAATATGTTATTATTTTCCATTATTTTTCAAGTTGACCATTCCACCCATTTCTCATTTTCACCTTAAAATGTTACCTGCGAGCAAGGTGAAGCCTCTCTTGTGTGGTGAGGTGCTCCACTTGCGCCATTTCCGACACCAGATCGGCATGCTCCATTGTACCGACACCTACAACCAAAACAAAGCACTTTTACACTTAATTAATGTGATTATTATATATTGTATTAATGACAATTTCATAGAAGACACTAGGTCTATACAGGCCCTAGAACTTAAATCAAGCCCTGTTTATATAAAGCAGAACACAGCACCATTTTTAAAAAGTATATGTTAGTTCATCAAATGAATATATTACTACTATTACAGATGAAAAAAATATGGAAATTATAATAATGAGGTGAAATATAATATAAATATTTGACCGCTTTCAAACTTAGACGATAATAAGATTAACTATTAAACATATGTACTTATAATAATGACTTCTGTAGCTAAATGGTGGAACGTCTTGCCTAGCATTGAGTCAAGCGCGAGAGGTCCTGGGTTTGAATCCCAGGGAAACAAAAAACTGTTTCGGTCGGCCAGGGCACAGAAATCTGATCCACTACTTGCTTGTTAAAGAATGTAACAGTGAAACGGACACAAAAATGTGTTCACCCCATGCCCCACAAGGGAAAACGGGATTGCACACTTACTCATAATAATAAAGGATCTGTGATCACATTTAAAAATTATTATTAAGTATCTATTTTAAAACAAGATTACAAACTTCCTAATCTATTTTAATATTTTTGCTAAGTGTAAATCAGTAGATAATAAGAAATGTGTGCTATAGATTATTTAATAAATTATGGTGGCATTTTGCGACAAAACTTGTTTTCCAAATAAGAAGTGTTATACATACCTGTTCACTCAATTGATAAATCCAAATATCTATTATACAGTCAAGATAAGATAATCAACTAATCATTATGTAGTGATAGTGTACACTTTTGCAAGAACGTTCAAATATATTATACATCATAGAAATAAGTAATTTATAACAACGACAAATGTAAACAAAATGTAGGTGGACAACAATCCGTCAACATAACTATTAGAAAGGTGATTTTATCACAAAAAGGCAACCTTCCTAAACGGCAATTAAGACGCCTATAAACACTCAAGAACGAAGTACACTTTGATATTTCACTTTAGATTATTTTATCATTACTCACCTTTTATTCTATTAACTACAAAGCTCGAATATGTTTCATTCCCGTCTTATTACGTTTCACGTACATAATTCTTCTACGGTAACTAAGAAAACTAATACTGATGCCTTTGTTGTACTGCGGCGAACTTAATTTAACATAAATATTTACAGTTACACGACATTTTCCGTTACTTTTCATGAAAATTAAAAGAAAAACTGAAAGTGTATAATCAACAACCAGCGCAGCTAGCGGGCAGCGACTTGGCGAGTCCGCTACTGTGTTGCCAGATTAATATTAAAGGTCTCCCAAGATTGTAGCTTTATATATTCATAAATAAGAAAAAGATAAAAGAGCACTTTTGCTACGAGACAATACAGTTTATTTGTGAATGGTAAGTGAGAGCTTAGAATTAAAAAATCATCCAACAAAATAGCCCGTGAAATTATGAATACAAGAATCAATCAAAGTTAGAAATAAGTAAGTTACATTATTAGGTTGTTCATACTAATAAGGTTCATACTATTACTATACATATTCATTGACAAAAATTTCCTCAAAAGTGCGAACATCTTTCCAGTCTGGCAATATTTGTTTTTTTTTATGGCTTGGATACAAGGTCGACGTTTTGTTTTTTTTATTGTATCGTTACTTTGCTACGTGTAGCAAATTCGCCAGTCTAGTAGTTTGCGAAAAGTAAAGCAAAATCTTGATAAAACATCTTTTTACTGGCTTCATGATCGCACGAGATATATCTGTCTAAAATAAATTACTAACTTACGCTGTACTAAGAAAATGTTGCCAGTGTATCATGTTTATACCTTTGACTTATTACATACAACTGCTTGACAATTGATATAATATAATATCATGAGTTACTTTGTAGTACCATAAAGAATTGAGTGATCATTTCACTTTTAAATTATTAGCTTACAAACATAGGTGATATAAAATAATAAACTGTATATCTATCTATAATATATGTTATTCTTTTATCCTGGTACAGGTGAATTATATTGAATTCACTCATTAATTATTAAAATATTAACTTTTAAATGCTTGAGGTACTTTGTAACGAATAAAGTCCTAAACTTTGAGATGCGTTTTATTAAAAAAAATACTTTGCCACAAACTGGTTTACCAATTAACTACTTTGAGAAAACGTAGAAAGAATTTACAAAATTAAGACATTATAATTTTATTTCAATAGTACTATACACAATTTGTCACGCTAATAATATTACACAATTTATATAGCAACAATTATAGTTATTGTGTGAGCTGATTTCATTTGTATTCTAGGCACTATTTTTAATTATCAATTGACACACCAAAGTTATTAGAAAAGCTTATTTAGGTATAAGCTACTCGCTTAAAGTGTTATGTACCCTACAATTTATTTAAAAGATCAAAAGCAATTATTTTATTGCATTTGCCACAATTAAAAATATCAACTAAACATAAATTTCGTAATGAATATAAATCATCATTACTTGTATATATTAATAATTTACTATTAAACTGAAATTAGGAATAAATATTTAAGAAAGTTGTTAATAATAATTATGTTTTGCATCTACCTTCTATTATAGCACAATTTTAAGAATGCAACATTAAAAAAAGTTTTTTAACTAAACGTATGTTTACTAATAGTAATATACTAATAGTCATCGAATATAATTACATAATACTATTAAATACGAAACGGATACATATAAAATTCATATTATCTATTGTCAATTTTCGTCTACGATTTCACTAACCTAAGATTACTTTTGCCTATTTATCGTAACAATAATGCTAATCCAAAATTGTTAGGTATATATTATAATATTTTTTATATACAATATCACAATAGTGTTTGATGAAGACGACAATATTTTTGGTTAGAAATATGCACCGAATACATATTGAAACTTATTTTTTAGTTCGACAGATATAAAGGTGCAAATGTCTAACTATATAAAGATATATACTATACATATGTATAGAACCAATAATTAAGAAAAGTAATAATAACTACAAATTAGACTACGAAATTATGCCCGAGCAAGCAGGGCATTTTATTTTGTGGCTACAATAATTATAATATTATATTAAATATATTTGAAATTTATGGTCGATTATATTATATCATGTTGTATTTTTAGAGTTTGAAGAAGTGTTGCTGAGGCAAAAACATTTTTTATTTTCCCGCGAAAATTATTAGATCGAAAACAGATAATGTAACGTCAAACGATGCCTTTATATGGCGTCCACAGACACAGAAATCAGATTTATAATATATGCAATTTATTTTAATGTGACGTATAAAATGTCTGCTTTTATAACTTTCCAAGCATCATATTATTTAACACTATATATTTTTTTGCCACAACAGTCAAATAATAAATTGCTGACCAAGGAACGACCAAATACGACGCGACAAATTGCCAATGACATTAGTTTTTAATTCGAGAATTTAGTATACAAATCATAATGTAAGTTTACATATAAATACATTAGAAGTTAGCATATCATTGTCTTTCGAGCTGTTCGGCCAATGTGAAAGACAATGATATGCTGTACGATGGCCGTGAAAGCCTTACACATTACAAGTTAATTTAATTTTACAAGGTTTAGGATAAAGTGTTTAATTATTAAAACATCTAAAAACTTTTTTGATGATCGTTTAATTGTACCTATGTACAAACACGTTTGGTTTGGATTGCATAAATCACTATAAATATTTTTTTGTGTAAATGTATGGTGAAGAATATGATTATTATTGTTATTTTCAAAGTGACGCCATTGTCAAATTGATCGCCTTAAAAAATATGCCTGGATCAGAAAACACTTGATATCAGTAATACTTACTACTACAATGAATTTCAATAACAACTATTCACTTTTATGGAGATTCATTTATTAAATATTTTTCATCGTATTGTCATTGGCAACTACCGCGTGCTAAGACCCAGTTTCACCAAAAACTTTGCAAAAAATATACACATTAAAATAAAACAACGGTATAAAACGCGATATATGTATTAGTTAAACTTAAAATGTATTTTTACTGAGGCCCGACGCTTCGGGTGCTTTTCAACAGCCGTGGTCACGGGCAGATACCGGTCTTCCGGTACTGGCGTAAACTACAGACAGTATTTAATTGACCTATTCTCAAACCGAATATTCTACAATGACAGTTGTCGTTTGGTGTTGACTATTTCATGCAGTGTATTTATTTCCTTGTGAAATTAGGTCTTAGTTCAAAATTTTAGCGATGTATAATTGCCTACCCTTATTTATTCAACTCCGTCACATATACATACAAAGTGTATAGAAAAATACTGTGTATTCACTTGAAAGCGGATACAAAAAAGGAAAGCCCTTTACAAAATTCTGTTCTTCAAATTGCAATACTTAATATCACATGCTGATATAATTATTTCGTTTTGTAATCCTTAAATATGTTGTAACGGCATTCGATATCTAGCATAAAAATATTTCCTCTAAGCCATAACATATTTACACATTATTCTATGGTATCTACTAAAAATTTGTGTACTTGTATACAACATTTCTACGCCTATTTGAGTCTAAAGCAATTTCATTTACAAAATATGGAGTAAGTCAATTCTTTGTTAGACGCATATATTTTATGTAAGTACGTCGTATGATTAATTCAGTGTCCTATATTTAAGAAGTGGTAACCTATCGTGGTCACCACGTCTTGATACTCAGGTATTTTCATCAGAGGAGTCGTCTGACGATGAACTGGTCAGGTTTGAAGTGAGGGTGTGTTGTCGGCTGAAAGTATCTCGTGGTAAACTTTGCTGGCCGAGTGCTAAGCGGCGTACCCCCATACGTTCGCTCTCTGGTAACGATTTACTGCATTTCTCTTCGGTTATAGCACTCCGAGACAAAGATCTGAAAAAGAAACATGTAACGTATAGGAATAAAGAATGTTCAAGAAACGTTGCTTTGAAACAACAATGCTCAAACATGAATTATTTATGCAGCTTTTTTCCACATTTCCCACTGTTTCTTCCCCCCTATTAGTCGCAGCCTGATGTTTTATAGCCTATATTCCCCGATAAATGGATTAACCAAAACAACATTTTTTAATTCGAATCAGTACTTAGTTGGGTTTAGCGTGTTTAAACGAATGAACGAATAAACAAACTCTTCATTTTTATAATACATATAGATAACAATGAACACTCTATAAATGGCGGAGAAAATGGTCACAATTACGTTGGTTTACTTATTTATACATACTTATTTATATATACTACATATTTGTATATGGTATGAACATCACGGCGCCCTCTTAGTAATGGTCACACCATATACAAATTGTATTATGAAGATATGGACAAATTTTTTATTATTTATTGCAGAATTATAAATAAATATCATTTAATTTCTGTACTAAACTTAAGTGTATATGTTATGAATACTTTGCCAGTAAACAAACTTACCCAGTTAGTTCCAGCATTGACCCTCTCCTACATTGTCCGCGATGCGGCCCTTGCATGATACTAGCAGGTCGAGATGAAGCCCCCAAAGGATCTGAATGGGCGACATCCTCCATCAAAAGTACAGTTGGTCCACCAAGACTAGTACTCCTTTTAGAAAGTAAACTTGGTCCAAGCTTTGGTCCAGTTGACGATTCGCCCTTGGATGAACTTTCACCCATCAACGAGTCGGCTTTTCCCTCGGAATCTGACATAATAACTTCACCGCCACCTTGGGTTGAACCAGAACTCTCTCTTCGGAACAAACCTATGATAGATTTCGGATGTTTTGGCTTTTCTATACCACCTATTAGAGGGGAAAGGGGAATGAAGGAAAAAATAGGGTATCAATTACAAACTCAATAATTGTAAGTCATGGAATAAAGCATTATTTTTGTGTAAGATATGATGTAAAATAAAAAGTAAGTTTAACGTCTTTCTCTAACAATATTTAGTGTAAAGAAAATAAAAGTGAAAAGGTATTATATTAGGATTGGTTGTTTTCGTTGACTAAAGTTAACATCATTACGGTGTTTTTTAAAAGTTAGTTAACTTTTAATATCGTAAATCAATAAAAACGAAATACCAACATGAAGAAAATATGAAAGCACGTATTACAAGTATATAGGGTGATTTTACCTAAAAATGTTGCAGAAGGGGAGCTATAAGCGAGGTACTCTTTGTTTGATGCCCACGCGGGAAACTCCGATTGCTTTAGCGCGCCACTACCCTCAATATCGTCCCGTTTCCATGGCAACATGGTCTCTGTAGCTGTTGGGGTAGCAACACGGGCTTGTTCCGCTACCGTCATGTACGTATCTATAAATATATGTATTTAAAAGATTTCGCAAAAATTCAAAATGATAATAAACTAAATGTATGTAATCATAATTTACCTAAATATAGTAAGTACTTTGTCTTACATCGGATGTTAAGTTTGAAAGTTTAAAATAGGGATAGAGATGTAAATGCTTTATAAATCTATTTTATTGTTAATACAAAATTATTTATAGAAGTTCAAAAGAATAATTCATGCATAAAATATTATAAATAAACAAAGAAACGTTTTTTTAAAACGATATATATATATGTACCTCCTTATGTCATTTTTGTACTGTATACACATTTGGATAATAAAAAAGTAACTACAACAGTTTATGGTATTACAACACTAAAGGAGGATAGGATACATCCTATATTAGACAAATATAACATAATATACAAGCCTCATAAACACATGCTTATGCATCCGTAATTGGCGCCTATTTTAGCCTATCAGCCTAGCTATGGAAGTATTGAAATATTAATGACCGTGAAAAATGTGAGTTACCATTGTCATCTGACATTCTTCTTTCATCTTCTTCAAGAATATCCTCATTAGGTACTAAAAAAAAATCACACGTTATGAAAGTGTAGCAATTTATTAATATTTAAAATATGTTTGTGGGCATGCTGTATGTATATTCGCAAAGTTATAATGAATTCTGGCAACATTTCAATTGAAATGTTTTTCTATTTAAAGCAATGTGACAATCTACTGTATGAATGGATTCTAAAAATAATTGAGATAATTTTGTAATTAGTTATTATGAAATACGTATTGTACTTACAAATAACGATACCCATGCTACACTTGAAAAGCCATTGAATTCCTTTATGAAAGCGAGACTAAATAATGGTTATAACAAATATTATGCTTACAATATACCTATAAAACAATTGTAATCCACAAAGACAACACTCATGACAATTGACATAGATAGAACAACAAAAGGTAAACTTAGAGAAACAAAAAAAACTTCGCATAAACAAACTTCTGAGAAGCGATCAAGTAGTGCGATCTACATTTTGTAGACATTCTCACATACCAAAGTTATACGTGGATCTATCTCTTCTCCACGGTAAAGATTTTTCAACAGCCGTTGGCAGAATTTCTTCTGGCGTTTTAGCGTATTGCTTAACGATCCTCGCCTTCAGGGGGTTAAAGCCAGGCAAGTTTGCCAGCTGGTTCAGGAGAGAACTACTGTTTTCCTTATGCGAAGACGTCGGACTGATTTCCTTGTATCCAGCTGAGAATTTTGCGGCCAGTCGTCGAGTTTACCAGGGTATTGCAGTACCACATGAAGTATGCCAGAAGATAGAAAATGACAATGAAAGAAATGATATTTAACAAGCGGAAAGAGCAATATAAAACACACATTAAAACATGATAATTCAATTCATCATGTTGATGTTTAGCAAATATTTAGACTAACTGAACGAAAACAAGCGGTGAGCGAAAATATGTCCGAATATTTTGCTTGTCAGCGTCACAAAATAGTTCGGGTAGTTGTTAAAATTATAAATACACTAAGCATGCTACAAAAAGCGAACATGTGATATTAGGCTTTATCCTGACGATTAAGAATTGACGAATATTCGAAATAAATAATTAAAGAAGTAAATTCATTATTATTCTTGTCTTAATTTAAAAATAAATTATAATCTGCAAACTTTCCAACAACATCGATATTGAATTTGAACTTGCTAATATTTATGATAGGTAAACGTGAATACGTTAGATGTTTTGTCCACAGATAATGTACACGAAACGAGACAAAACATCTACCAACAGCAGCGTCCAAATTCAAAAGGACCACAGCCATGCGAAATACCTACGTGGTGATTTGGCAGTGAAGGTTATACCACCATCATCGTTTTCCCGACGCGGCACCTCGTCATCCTCTTGCAACACTTCATCGATGTAGTCTGAAAAAATAATCGCACTTATTGCATCAAACTACTCATGTATGTGTCCCACTAATTTATTTGTGTCTATTGTACTGTTTTCGTTATGTGGGTAGTACGTGCAAACATCAAAATTAAAAACAAAGCGGCAATTGATAGTAATAAACTGAGAAAGTCGAAGAGATTACCATTCAGTGTTCTAGAAGAATGATGGTTGTAAGAAGCACAATGTCTTTGCAAATTATAGTCGGGCTTACTTCGTCTCACAGTAGCAAAATGGAACTAAAAATACCCACGCGTGCATGCGACTGATACTCGTGATATTAATAAGTAATTTATTTAAGTACCTAATCTATAATACTTTTTTTTACCGTGCGTGAACTGTTTGGCCGAACCATTTTGCTGGAATTCGGGGAAGGAAACATGGTTCTTGCCATCCTGAAAGAAATATTTCTTAATGTACTTTTCGTTTATAATAAGAGAAAATAACGTAATTTTATACATTGAATTTTATAACTGAAAACTTGTATGACTGTATAATTTGTGAATCTTCTTGGCAAAGCTCCAAGTTATAGTAATTAATGAATTCTGCTTTGTGACGTTTGTTTATTCTAAATTATAATGAATGCATCACACTTTCGATCGATGGCACAGAAAAGACTCGATCTCTAGTTTAGGAATCGAGTTTTATAAATATATAGCTCTGATAAGAGCTCATTTAGGACGTACTCTACGAAGTTAAAGTCTCAACTGACGAATTTTTGTTTCTTTCGTATTTACCTGTTTCCCACGCTTACTGCGTTTGTGATGATGCTTCCTGTCTCCGACCAACCGCCGAATATTCATGTGCGTCTTATAGTTGACTTGCATCCCCAAGTCTTTATCATTCACAGCGTGTCGGCTGTAGCTCAAGCGTCGATGCTGAAAAAACAATGCAGTCTTGATAGAACAAACCACGAATATATTTGAATGAGATGATTTGTAGGCTTTGTTTGTTTCCCTTTACACAAAAGCTACGGTAATACATAAAGTGACTCTCTAGTCATCCAGAATCATAGAACCATCAGACACCAGATGTCAGTGGATATAGTTTTAGGTAGAACTTAATATTTTTAACATTTTGCACATGATGGCACTATATAATTTAAAAAGCGATTACAATTGGAACCATATTTTGAAAACTGGTTTTCAATTCGTAAGAACAACAGTACAGAACACTGTAAGTACCCATTCAAGTTCTGCCCGTATCGTAATTTTTTTCAAATTATAAGCGATTACTAATTTAAAGCCTAAATATGTTTTCGTAAGTTCCTTGTTTCGCTTTGAAAGTACAAAACCTAAGGTATATAGGCGGCATGATACTTATTCCTTGTGTTTTAGAGTCACTTACTAACTTAACTGTATACTTACCCGCCTATAAGGTTTACACAATTCTTCAGCTAGAAGGTGATGTATCCTCGCATCTGTTAGATCCTTTTTGGACGGATTGTATTCTAGCTCCTGCATATCGATATTCCATGTAGACGAATCTAATTGACTGAAACTCGGGCTAAAAAGTTTACATAATACAAATAACAAAGGTATTCGATATCCAGTTATCCCTGTCTCTCACAGGGACTCCTTGACTCATTTCTTTGTCTGTTTTACTATATATTGCCTACTGTCTGTAGGGTACGTGAGTAGTACACATTTAAAGAAAACACTTTAACGCGGTCACGGGGAGACCACGGCAGCCACAAAGCATCCGAAACGTCGGGCTGTAGTTAAAATAATTTTCCAATAAGTTTACCAACATCTTTCGCGTTTAAAACCGTTAAAGTGTTTTAATTCAATGTATAATATTGTATTCGAATATCTAAAACGAAAATAGCCCGACAGCGCGCTCTAATGTTATATGGTTGAGGCATTTATGTGAACATAAGCTTGTCTATTTTCCTATATCATTAAAAAAAATGTAAAGCTTCTTGGATTTTCGAACTGGTCAGCCGTCGTAATTATTTGTTGTCGGCGTTTTGTTATCACGATCGGATGATATCATTAAGAGATGTTTCGCGTTTACTGACCAGCTGATCTCTTAAACGAGGACAAGGGAAGGAGCAGAAACGAACCAAAGCGTAAACGCAAGCAGCTTATAAGAAGAATTTATATATACGGATAAACAGTCATGACCGAGGCTCTTGTGCTGTTTCTAAGAATAGCACTTATAAAGGTATAATGGAGTTATGTGTTATATATATATATTCAATAAGAGTGTACATACTGTCTATAGTTTACGCGAGTAGTACACATTTAAATAAATTTAAATAAAAACACTTTAACGGTTTAAAACGTGATGTATTAGTTAAACTTATTTGAAAATGATTTGTATCTTCGGTCCGAAACGAGTGTACATCTTGAAATTCCAATATCTACATAGTTTTAGTGTAATCATAGTTTTTACACGTAACGTTTTAAACCGTTAAAGTGTTTTATTTAAAAGAGTGTACATGTTGAAATTCCAATATCTACATAGTTTTAGTGTAATCATAGTTTTAAAATATCCATGTTTGTTAATTTGAAAACTTTAGGTCCTAAGGGACGACATAATCCTATTAAATAAAGATTAAATAAAGTGTGTACCTTCCGTTTAAGTTGGCATTTGTATAGTTTTTAAATATAGCTGACATAGACTCAGCTCCGGAAATGTTACCGATAGTCGACGCATTTCTCTGCATATACTCTATTGCGTCTCTCATGGCCAGCTTGGAATACGTTTCCAGAATTTTTGGCTCCGCACCCTGAAATTACAATCAGAAATCAACGAAGTATACATATAATGGAATATAAAATCAATAACAACAGCAATCTTTAATAAAGTTATTTTTCTGGAATAGAACACATTTTAATAAAAAAAACTTAACGCTTTAAAGCGCCTAATATAAGTAATATTATATGTTAATCGCTTCAGGTCATAGTTAAGATAAATAATATACTTCGCGTTTTTAACCGTTATTATTATTTTTTTCTATTGGGTACACCGATAGAAGGCGAGGAATCATTCCACAGTATCAGCTGCCAATTCCACCCATTTCCCCATTTCCTCCTTGCATCTTTGGGTCTTAAACCATTAAGCGTTTTTAAATCTTAATACATTAAATAAAGAAGTCGTATTAGTCGTACCTGATAATTCCTTAATAAAAATGGCCGTATAAAGCGATTGTCGAATCGCTTAAACTTATCCCTGATGTGGTGGTTGCCATGTTTCCCTAAAATATCTTCGATGCCAGCCATGAGATGGTCCATGAACTATTCAAAATGTAAATAACAATTATACATATTTACACAATAAATATACATATAATAAGTAGGTAATTGGAGACCTAAATTGATTTTGTTTGTGCAACACATTCATTTACCATCTGTCTAAGTATCTAATATATGCATATACAATATTTATATCTATGCTAATATTATAAAGATTAAGAGTGTGTTTGTTTGTTTGAACGCGCTAAACAGTTCGTTGGATTTATCGAAGAAGGGTTTAGTAGTTTTTACTGATTTGAGTTTTTGACTGATACTATATTCAGTAAAAACTTACTACGCCACTATTAATTATAGTATGTAAAAAAGCTACAGTACAATATAAAAAATGATGTCTTACCCTTTCATGGATTCTTTCGTTCATGGTCGGTTTGCGCTTCTCAACAGTCTTAACGTTCAGTATTTTGACCAAGGGTTTTATCGTGATGCCCTGGATGAAAACAGTGAAGTAAATCACGGCTATCGTAGTCGTGACGAACATGGGCTGTAACTTCACCACTTTTGGGTCTATTAATAGCACCAATGCGAAGGCGACCGCACCTCTGAGACCTGGTGGAAAATATAGGCCAAGTGTAAAATGTTTATCTTTTAGACGCTTGAGTTTAAACAAATTTGTTATTAATGCAATGATTAAATACAAAAGTTAATATTTAAATAAAACACTTCAACGGTTTAAAACACGACATATATTAGTTAAAATATGTTTATTGTTTTTTTATATGTTTTCGACGTTTCGGTCTCCTCGTGGCGCCGGATCGTAGTTAAAATAAGTTTACTCCTCGCTTAAGTTAACTACTCGCGTAAACTACAGACAGTACAAAAGTTAGTAGTTAAATTATTAGGCTAACGAAAGAATCAATTCAATAAATGCATTAATTTTATTAAATAATTTGACGATACTGATAATATTACTGTGCTCACTAACACCTTAGGCTTTGGCTTGGATTGAACATAAATTTATTGTACCAAATGTTATCTTTATTTACAGGGCTTTATGTAGGTTATGTCCCCCATATGACTTGACTAATTTATAACAATAATATGAATATGTTTAAACTGTCTACTAGAAATTGGATTTATAATAAATCTTTAGTATTCTTGCCTAAAGATGCGTTGGGTTTAATTGTACCCGCGCTATTAGGGATTTGACATCATGTTTATTAGAATCGGCTAAGTATTTAATAGTAATAGTATAACATACGTATACGGACGAAAATGTTGTTATGCATTGGCGACAGTGCATAAAAATAGATTTGTATACATTAAATTGTTAGCATTGTTTTTTATTTAGCCTAAGATAATATAACAGATTAAATTTCAACTCACCTCCATAAGACATAACAAACTTCTCAACAGTTTTCAATTTGTGCAATCTGAATTTATTTGCTACAGCGCTTAATATATATACACCTGAAAGAAATAACGATAAATTTAAAAATCCTTAGAACTTAAATGAAATGTTAGGCCAACTTTTTAGGTCACATTTGACATTAAGTTTGAGACATGACAAAGAAATTCGTTGAATTGCCTCAAATATCGTATTATTTCTTTAAATGTGTAGTTGTTACACAAATGCATGATTACTAATAACAAAAATTGTGCAGGTCTTCGTAATCAACGAAAAAAAAACTTTCGTAATCAACTATAAGCAATCAAAATGACGCAGGTTGTAGCAAAAAAAAATTATTATCTTATATATTGCACGTTTTGATCCGTTTCATTTGATGTGTACTTGTTCATACTACGCACACAATACATTTTTTGTTGTTCCGTTACAAATTTGAATGACATGTGTTGTCAATATAATGTCAAGACTGAATAACAATAGATATCGTACAAACTCACCTATAATACGAAATACCGAACAGAAAACAATGGTCAATAGAACAAACCAAGTGTTCCAAACGTGATTATTATTAACAGTGGCAACACCAAGGAACATGAAAATTATAGTCTCCGAAGATGATGACAACATTTTCATCGTATATTTTATAGTTGTATGGGATTTGTGCGATATGTTAGCCTCTACGTAGTTTTTCATTGTTATGCCGCAGAACGTTATCCTGAAAAGATTGTTTTACAAATCAAGTCAAATAGAAAACCTCGTACACTGCTACAACTATAGGCAGCTTGGCACACTCATGAATGTCAATAATTTCAATCACATAGTTAAAATAGTAAAACACATGCATTCGTAAAGTAAGATCTGTAAATATAATGAAATTATACCCAGCAAAAATGAAAATTTATCGAATAGTAAGTTAAAACAATGCATGTATATAAATTTACGAATTAAAAACTTATTCAAGCCGATAACTTTAGATTATATTATTTTTTATCGTATGCTCACGATGGAAAAGTTATAATATAAGAATTCTTAGTCTTTCCTGCATTTTATTGGGATCACAAGTATTATTTTTTATTCTAGGACATCGACTAAATTGATTCCAAAACAATGATTGATCATCAATATCGATTAGGCCGTTGGTATGTGAAAGAGCTTTCATGCATCCATTCCCAATTCAAACTCAAACTCAGAACTGCAAATTAATTTAATGTTAATTTAATAACAATTACTCACGCAAGAATTCCGCTCATGTGAAACATTTCAGCGTTAAGGTAAGCTAAATACGCCATAACGAAGATGAAAATCGGCTCTATCACTCGGACTTCATGCGTAAACCGGGTCACTAGACCGGTGGCGAAACCCCAAATCACACCAATACATGTACCTCCGAACGCCACAACAATGAACGATCCGAAACCGGCTAGAAAATCTGTGTATACCAATTTTGATGGTCCCATTTCCCTGTAACAAAACATCCGTTGTTAATATAGTTTAAAATCTACTAATTAAAATGTGAAGAAATATCTAGTCTAGACATTGGTAGAAATATCGAAATTCTATCTGGGCCATTGCGTCTGTGGACAGTTCGCTTTTAGTCTGTAGATTTCTGAAGCCTCACATTCTTATAATTTTTTACGGACTGGGCATTGTAAATTTTTAGGAAATGTTATTTTCATTGTTGCGTTCTCCTTTGTCTTTAACTTATCCATAACTCCATTCCAGTCTATTAATCAATAATAGTGTTAAATTGGTATATTACATAAAGAAATTGGTTAATTTTATATTACAACTTAAACGTATAAAATGAGAATATAAATGAATGTAATGTTCAAAATAACAATTAAAGAATATTTTCACTTATGTCATTATCAACTGTAAATTAAAAGCAAGAAGGTGTTCTAACAATTGCAATATAATACTGGAAGTATAATGGCAGAAGCGGTATTTACTAAACTGAAACAAACAATGTTATTTTTAGAATTCCGTAAAAGTTATGCTTCGAGGGGGTCGGCGGAAATGAACGTAAAAATTAACGAGAACCAATATAGCCTGAATGTTACATACAAGTGTACAAATTGTTTGTATTCGGTACGGAATAATGGGTAACGATGTATATACAATTTGCTCTTATGACATAGGAGAATATATAAAAACGAGCAAGCTCAATGTATCAAATGATAACGAAAATGCCCTCAGAAACATCTCGGGCAAGGAGGGCAAGGACGGGGGTTTACTTGGTTGAAGGTGAAAGACCTCAGCCATATAACATCTGCACTAGCTGCACGCTTTTTCTTTACTTTAACCATTCGGAAAAACCACAGACATAAACCGACGTGATCATTAACTGTTTGGTTGTAGGAAGGGTAAATTAAAAAAAATGTATTTATATTCGTTTCAGTGTATTCGTAAAATATTGCAATTCCTGATCCTTTAAGTGTTGTAAAGTAAACTATACTTACTCCGTCAATAGTAACTCGCTTGTAAAAGAATCGATCAGTAAAACGGACACAGAAATATCTTGAAATAAATACGAAAACAAACAAACAATATGAAACAAATGCAATACATACGTGTAAGCTTCAAACATGTGGTACAAAACGACAGTCACTGCATCGTTCAGAAGAGACTCTCCAAACACTACTATATACAAAATTTCATCTACGTGAATTTCTTCAAACACCGCCAACACTGCGACCGGGTCCACAGCCGATATTAAAGCTCCAAATAGTAACATATCCAGTAGGGGGGTTTGAAAAGCAAACATGCCAGTTTGTCCACATGCCCATAGGGATAAACCTAAAAATATCGATTCATTACTTGGCTTAGTACAGTCAAACACTTTAAGTAATAACATCGTTTGTATCAAAGAACTCGAAAACTTAGTAGAGATAAATTAAATAAGCACATGTGCTTTGCACTTTAAATAAAACTCTGTTTGACGGTTTGAAACGAAAACTACATCAATTGTAAAATTATAAAACAATGACTCAATGTTCCAAACGAGCCAAAACCAAACTAAGGGTTTTATTAAACGTGTACTCGCGCAAACTATTGTTAAGACAAAACTCAATAAAAACTTACCAATAGTCAACGTATTGAAAACGGTCCCCACCACAGCAAACAAAAGTATAGTCCCGAGGTGGTCGAAGAACAGCCTGTTGGGCATGAAATAACCGGCATCCAAGATAATTGGTGGGAGCATGTACAGGAAGAAGGTGTCAGGAGTTAGGGGTTGTACGTGAACGCTATGAGTGCTTAGAAGTAAGGCGCCTATCAACACTCCAACGAAAATAAGGAGACAGGATTCAGGAAAGATTTTGGATAATTTAGGTGCCATGTGGAAACCTAAAACAAAAGAAAAATATTGTTTATACATAATTTATTTTTATATAACAAAATATGTGGACCTAAATACATAGTGTTATAATAAGATTTAAAAAAAAATATTTATAAATATTTATTTTTATTTTCTATTACATATTCGAATTACACAGTCTTTACACCTTCGATATATTATTACTTACTTCTACGATTCATATAGATTATATATCTTTCACTATTTTTTCTCAAATTCATCAAATTGACACATAGACGATTATATTGATTTTAAAGTTCATGTCAAAGTCACCTCATAAAATCCAAAAATATTCATGTGTCTGTAAATTATTATTGTTATAACTATTTTTAAAAATGTGTTTGTGTTATTAAATCGATACAAGTCGTTTGAATACTATATAACTTTGCCTTTATTTGTTGGTTCAAAATTTTGCGTGTCTAAAAAATTTTATCAAAATTCTGGCTGAAACTAGTCAGACTAGAATGCAAAGACCCAGGTCTCAATCCAGCATCTATGATATATTCCCAGCTCAACGCGATTTCACAAAACCTAGACACAACAAATCTCATCCATATCAAGAAATGGCAGGAGATCCGCATAGGAAATATTCAGAAATAAAAGGATTTTTAGAGCTTAATCAGTCTCCATACGTTACAAGTGAAAAATATCATGCATTAAATAAAGTGACTAGTGATAAATCTGTGGTTCGCTCCACTAGCACATTGTTTTATGATCTAGACAACCTAGCAAAAAGACATTCATACCACTGTGTTGCTGGCTTTAGTATATCGACTAGTAACATTTTAAATATGAATCCAAATAATAATCATATGAAGAATAGTGGTTTTGATGCTAAATCTAATGCTATAGTACAAGAATGTGCTACGGAGAATCAACCAAAGATAAAGGCGAAAGATAGTATATCGGTAAACAGCAGAAAAGCTAAAAGAATATTACAGAGTAATTTAATGCTTTCATCAGATATGTTCATTAACACTGAATTGAAAGAAAAAGACATGAATCATTCACATGAACTATATGAAAAAGAACAGAAATTTTGGTCTTTTGCGAAATATCATACAGAGTATACAAAGCCGCAACCTGAAGAAAAACGAAATAAGAACAAAAATCACACTAAACAAACCGAAGACCCTTGTCCATGTCAGTTGTTTTCATATGCCTGCCCATGTGCAGATAAAAAATCTCTGACAAATTTGGCGAAAAACAGTAAAATTGCAGCAGTCGCTAACCAAGTCACCAGTACAATGAAAATTTCAATATCCCAAAGAAATAAGAATTTCAGTGTACCTAAAGAAGACAGTGCTAAAGTTACTGTAGATAAAGTTGTTAATGCTAAAGCAACCGAGGAACTACCAGAATACAATATAGTGAGAGTGTCTGACCAAGTATCGCCACCGTCTATGTACCAAAGTAATGTTTCAAAACATCATTGCAATGAAAATAAAACAAGGAGCAGCTCTAAGCAAAAAAATATGAAAAAACCCAGGCAAGTCACATGTCCAAGGTGTAAAGAAAGAATCGATGTACTAAGCTTCACAGAAGAAGAAGAGTGCTTAAATTTTTCAACAATAAATCGCATGAAAGACAATCCATCTCCAGGACAGTGCTCCTACTCAAGCAGTTTAAGTCAGAGAAGTAAACACGATGGAGATATTTGTAATCACGATCCACCCTGTGAAATGGTGCCCGTATGCCAAATTTTACCTTCAGAACAAGCTTTTATGAATAGTACAAAATGTTTTAAAATGGAGTCCAAAATGAAGAACACAGCAAAAACAATAAAAATAACTAAAGCTTGTCGACATCATCCTCCTTGCACAGTAGTACCTTCTTGCCAAAGAATGAGGGTATTAAGTAATAACTGCGAATTTATACCACCTTGTATACACCGACCGCGTTGTGTGAATTTACCTTTATGTGTTCCCTTTTCAAAAACAATAGACTACGATGAGCTATTAAACAGATCAGCGAATGAAGAAGATAATAATGTAAAATGCCACCATAGTAATATTTACACGACTCCCACATACGTGCCCTTCTATCAACGTGACTCTATCAACAATAATATAGAGCATCATTTTTGCGCAACCCACAACACTTGTGAATTTGTCAATGATTATGAGCCAAGGTTTTTCATTAACCCTAAAAGGCAAGCATCACCTATTCTCACATCATATCAGACCTCGTCGCCAGTGTCTTGTTCTTGTCCTAAGCCAAATAAATCTTGCCAATATGAATGCGACGATTGTAAATGCAGAAATAATTATATTCCGATTAAAAGTGAAAGTGGTGACGTCATCGTTTACATTAGAGACGTCGGTTGCCAGTTTAGAAGTAAACAAAGTCCATGTGATAATTCTTTACGATCTAAAATGTCATGCCCCTCCTTCCAAGAAGACCCAAAGGTCGACAACTATTTTTCTAATTATCACACATTGCGATATGAAGATAAATTTACCAATCCTATTTCTGGTGGTGATCAAACAGTTTCATCTAGTTCTATCGAAATTGATATTCACTGTCCCTCTCATGGCAGGGATAAGAAGCAAGTTCTGTCAGAACTGAATACAGGTTTCAAGCCTAGGGCATCTCCGGTAGTAGCTAACTGTTCTCTACATGATCCAATTGTAGAATATTGTATGACGACGTGCAAAGAAGACATAGAAAAGAAAAGAAAAAAATCGCACAGCATCTTGAATACTGTAACATCGCGGAAGAGTTTTCTTAAGGGTAAACATAAAAAATTACCTTCTGTGAGACGACGAAGAAAATCTCGACTTAGTTATCAAAGTCTTTTAAACTCCAGCTCAATGAAAAGTTACACTGGTGAGAGGGCGACATAGATTATAAAATATGTGGCTACATTTATTTAAACAAGTTTAAGTATGTTAACTTATGCGATTCAAAATATAAACTATTTAAAAAAGTTTATTTACTTTTTTAAGAAGGGCCTATATTTCAATAAATTGTTGTTGCGTACGAAAACTGCACTATTGTGATTAGATAAAATTATTTTATTGGAACAAGCTCACCTATTTTTGCAATGCTAGCGAAGAATATCCAAACTCCAATTAAAAACGGTGTCTCCACACGATGGAATTCAAATGCTGCTATAACTATCTTTCTTTCCTCTTTCGGTTCTTCAGTGGCTGGAGAATCTGTTGTGATTTCCTGCTTCTGACGTAGCTGCGTCCCCGGGGGTTCCCCTGGAAGCGGAGCCACGGGTCCCATTGGGCCAAAACCAAGCCCTGGATACGTAGAGATCCCATCGACTGCAATGGACGGACTCGTTTTTGTGGTGCTCTGTGGAAAATCAATAAACATTAAAAAAACCTTTTAAAACAAACACATTTTTACATTTCTACTTTATAGACATTTTTACTTTATAGAAGATTTATGAATGTATAAATAAATAATATGTATACACATTATATTATGTATGTATGAAGTAGTAATATAATTTATTATCTTGCTCTGTAATCTATGATTTAGTCGATTTCCATAACATGTTTGTCTCTTTAATGTAATAAATTAATTTCGTATTTTTACGCGTTGATATCTTCCCTGATTTTCACGCCAGCCAGACAACAAAGCTTTTATCAAAAAAATACCCTTCCCAGTTTTCGCATTGCAGATAACAAAGCTCAATTCTTTTCTATATTTCACAATCAAATTATCAACGTGTCAAGCTTCTTAACAAGCTTAACTAGTAAGAATGTAATAAATAAGATATTGAATAATATTTTAAGCGTTAAGTTGATACATTATTAATATTATTTATAAATCATTGGAATTGTTAGAGTTTTCATACAGATAAGAGATAATTTAAATTTTATTTTCGCCAGAAGTACATGTATAAAATACTAGTTGTGCTAGCGACTTCGTCCGCGTGGAACAGAGACTTGGGGTAGAATTTTTAATTATTTAGGCTGTTTATTTCTTTATATAAGGGCGTATTTAAGGCAGCCAATCTATGTTGTAAGTACTACTTTGCCGCAACACTCCGACTCTCACTCCCACTCCTAATCCCAAAAAGCTAAAGAAGAAAGTTTCATTGTTCTGGCTTCAAAAATTCACGAATTTTCATACAAACTTTCATACCCTTTTTCAAGCCTTAATAACCCTTTTTCGGCATTAAAAAGTAGCCTATGTCCTTTCTCGGGCTATAAAATATCCGTGTACCAAATTTAATTTGAATAAGTTCAGTGCTTTCGGCGTTAAAGCCGGACAGATAGACAGACAGAGTTACTTTCACATTTATAATATTATTATAGATTAAGAAAATTAAATAGAGCAACAGCACAGTACGCTGTCGCTAATGGGTTCAGATACCGATTGTGCATAGATATAATATGTTTGTAATATGTTACAATCATTTTATTATATTACTGAATTGAAAATGTTAGTAAACATACTATATAAATAATAAATATAGATATAACCTCCATTCCCGACGCAACCCCATTCTGGGAAATAAAAATACATATCACAAATCGATTTTTCTCTAGCTGTGATTAGATTTCGATGCTGGCAATGCTGAACTCTTGCCAGCTGCCCCAGGCTGTTCTTGACCTTTTACTAGGCATGTATTGTTTCTGGATTTAACCTTGACAATTATTTTCTTATGACAAATTTATTCAGAAAGTATTTTTATTAGAAATGTATTTTACAATACGGAAATATTTTAAATAAAACACGGGCCGAACACATGTCTGTGTCCGTTTCACTGATCTCTTCTTTAACAGGCAAGTAGTGGATCAGACCGTGCCCAGCCCGACCTAAATAATATTTTGTTACCCTGAGATTCGAACCCAGGACCTCTCGCGAAGCACAGATAGCTACATGGCATATTATTTACACGTTATAGGACATATCACTCTACATTAAATGAAATTATTCCTTCTATCGTAATTTGCGTTTTAGTTTCAGCCAGTGGACTAACCATGGCCCACAGGGGCATACAACAAATGAAATCGAGCGAGCTTCGTTTTTAGGGGTTCAAAAGTTTATATATCTTATTAACCGAACATATTTAATCAGACCACTACATTTCGTGGGATAAAACCAATTGCCGAGTAATATCCGAATAATAAAATTCAATAAATGATAAGAATGTTTTGACATTAGAATATTATGGTAATTTCATAATCGATTTCTGTAAAGGCAAGGTCAAAACCATGAAACGCGTGCCATACTAAAAGCTATTTGGATTTATTCGTATGAGTTTTCCTGTTCGGTATGAAAAATAAATGCATGAGAATTTAAAAACTGACCTCCATTCGTTTTAATAGACGCTAGTGAAAATGTTTATTTTACTGGCTACCTAGAAATAAGTATCATTCTACCTAAAACAAATATTAATAGACACAATGTTTTTCAAAACCATCATAGGTCGACATCACATCTTGTGTCTTTGATTAGGGTATTTAATGTAAGGCGAAATACCTTGCCTTAGCTTGTCTATTTGTGGCTGTCGTAAAAAATATAATATATTTCAGTGCAGACGGTTAAAACACAAAGTATAGTCTATATATAACAAAAATGAGTAAAAACCAAAGCAATTTGCACTCTTAAACTTATGTTTACTTACTTCGACAGGATTGGAGCTGACGACAGACAAGAGAGCAGCGGCAGTGAATAGGCTAAGCGTGTGCCTGCACGCCCGTCTGCTCAAATTGACGCCATGCTTGAGCGACGTCATATCTCCAAGTAAGATCACCTTACATTTATTCTAAACGGTTTATTTCACATACATATTGTTCTATCACTTCCAGTTGATTTCAGAGAGCTAAGATTTATGGAAACGTATTCTTCCAGCTCATAATATCGATATAATGGCGGATTCGAATCTCTAATTTGCGATGCTGATAACTTCAATGCGTGTCTAATTTATTGCGTGACTTTGCATAGTGTGTGCTCTTTATTTTTATTAGCTTTAGAAAAACATACGATGCTTACAATTCAATAAGGCATAAGCGATAAGACATACCTTTAGTCTGAATAGTTAAAAGAAGAAAGAAAATAAAAGACTATTACAGAAAACCAAACAAAAAAAAAACAAATACATTAAAACCTATTTAAAATATATGCAACTAAGTGCCCCACGTCCGAAATACTGGCTTAGCTTATGTTGTGGTATCAAACATGAATCAATAAAAAAGTTATTGTTTTAGTGTCGGCTTGAATAATAAATAATACAACATGTATAATATACAGATTTAAAAAATGCATTCTATTAAAAGCACATATATAATTTTACTATATTTATTTTAAATACATAAAAGCAATTCTTATATAATTTATTCCTAAACAGCCGTGATATCATTAAAATTTGCTAACGTGTAAACGTGTAATTAATTAATAAATAACATACAACATATCTATATTTAACAGTTATTTCATTATATTAACATTAAACGCGAGTAGTACACATTTAAATAAAACACTTTAACGGTTTAAAACGCGATATATTATTAAACTTATTTAACATAAGTTTTAACATTTTTTTAAATAATTTAACTATCTATATAATATATCGCGTTTTAAACCTTAAATTTATTTAATATTTAACAGTTTTAGCATTCTTTAATTAACATCGCAACACTAGTACGCCCAACACTATTCAAGCAAAATAGATTAGGTTTCTGTATAACTTGAAAATGAATGCCATTGTTAATTGAAAGACAATTTTATTTAGCAGAATAAGCATCCAGTTGGCGCCGCGTCGCCCTCGTCTCAAGGATATTAGCGCTCCAGGACATTGTGGTCTCATTTCAACGGCTTGTAATAGACGATTATTCTCGACGTTCAAGATTGAAGCCTAATGACGTACGCCAATCTGACATAACTACGTAATTGAGTTCAAAAGTCATACGAAAAATATGCTATAATACTACGTAGGCGAATGTTTGGTCCGGTCTAATTAATGCAGTAAATAAACCATTTTTATATGTTTTAGATTGAAATGATAGAAATAAATAAAAGTAGGAAAAAAATTCGTTATCTTATTAATAATTAATTAATGACGAAAACTGTGTGTAGCTTACGCGTGTAGTACACATTTAAATAAAATACTATAAGCGTTTAAATTCGAAATATATCAGTTAAACTTATTTACGTGGTCACGAAGAGACACTTTCACGTGGCCACGGCTGTTGCAAAATCAGTACCAGTCGAGTAATTTTCCGACGGTACTTAGATTTTATTCTCTTGATATAACATGATATTGTTATATCATCAATTATGTTTAATTGTAGCCAAAAATAGTATGAATTCTATATAGATTAACATAATTTCCTACAAGCTGTGTAAAACAAATTTACAATAACGGTATTGTTCAACGTAGTTCGGTATTTGGGTTAATTTTAACTAAGTTAAGAGCTACGGCGTAGGCACGTAGCCATCTTGACGTAGAGGCACTGCTCCGCATAGTTCAAGTGCTACGATTTTGTTACACTATCATCAAGGCTTATTTGTCGTAGCACCTCTATGACCGAAGAATTCCTCGTTTCCCGTTCAACTTACTGGTACCGCAGTATTAGCATAAAAGATACATGTATTAATAAGTTGAAAAACGATGGACGATAACGTATGGGACATGGTAGCTCAATTGGTTAAGCGCTGAACAAAAACTGCTTGAAAAGGGTTATTATAACGTAAATGAATATTTAAATGATAAAAATGCTTGGGGTATGGAGGAACCCTCCCCAAGCAATGGGATACGTAAGGAATATAAGGAAATGTAATAGAAACTTGGCAATTAAAAGGAGTGGCGGCGAGTTTCTTGCCAGTTCTTCTCGTTCGTTCTACGCCCTAACTTGGGAACTGGTAGTAACTGTAAATTTAGAGTTTTAAATTTTTACCTGTTTTGACGTTCATAAGTGTACTAAGCTACCTACATGAATAAATGATTTTTGATTTGATTTGAAGCTGAGGATGCCTTTGCTCCCGTGTCGTAACCTTTTTTAACTATATAATCGATTTTTAATTTAACACACTACTGTTGAATGATCATGTCCATGTAGTAATTGTCATTCTGCTGCATCTATTACAACTACCACAGATTCTATTTTGGTAGTTCCAATCCATAAAGGAACTTCAACGATGTGTAGGTCTGTCTATTTTTCCCTGGGTAACGAAGCTCTTTAATAGACTTATTGTTTAAACTAGAAACGTGACTGTAGATAGACAATAAATACAATATTGTAAAAAATATGCATTGCTTGTGATTTGTAAGATCGATAAACTTCTAAACTCGAAATGAATGAAATTAGTTCGCTTATTTTGGTACAATTTATTTTAACTACGGCCCGACGTTTCGAATGCTTGGCGAAATTAATTTCATGATCATCCGAACATTTTCCTCCAATACGTCATTTATAATTCTTTCCATCTTCGTTGGCGTGCGAATATATATTTCTAATTGGTATGACGCAAAAGCGAGTTCACTATATATATATATATAAATACAAGAAGCCAGCAAAGGTCATATTTATCTATCTTCTATAATGGATTAGTTTTCTCACTGCGCAGAGTAAAGAACAAAATAGGTACATGTTAAATAGTCTGTAGTTTACGCGAGTAGTACACATTTAAGTACACGGCTGCTACATAGCATCCAAAACGTCGGGTCGTAGTTAAAAATAATCTGTAAATAAGTTTCACAAACATGTTTCAAACCCTTACGTTAACCGTTAAAGTTATTTAACATATCATTGTCTTTCGGGCTTTTCGCCGGGCGGTTCTTGAGACCCTCTTCTCGCTCACATCGGCCGAACAGCCCGAAAGACAATGATATGCTGAACGATGGCCGTGAAAGCCTTACATAATTTATTAAAGTTATTTAAATATGTACTTGTTAGTATAAAATCAAACTTCTTCAAAATTAAACCTTATTATAAATCTAAACACCTGGGTTATTAAAATAAAACACTTTAACGGTTTAAAACGCGATATATTAGTTAAACTTATTTGAAAATGATTTTTAACTTCGGCCCGACGTTTCGGCTGCTGTTAAAAATCTGCCGAAGTTAAAAATCATTTTCAAATAAGTTTAACTAATATATCGCGTTTTAAACCGTTAAAGTGTTTTATTTAAATGTGTACTACTCGTGTAAACTATAGACAGTACCTGGGTTATTATTTCATGATAGTCTTCTTATGGATTTTAAGAAATCTTAGTGTTGCTTTCAGTGCTTTCATTGCGTATTAGAACGAACATAAATAACTTACTTTGATTCACGACCGCGGTAGTTGGTTTTTGTCTTTTACACTGACATATTACTTTAGTATTGTATCTCCATAATGACAAAGAATTTGTTATTAAAATAGGTCACGTGTCGATCGTTCTAAAAGACATCAACAGCAGAGAACAACAGTCAGCACAATCTATATAGGCCTTTGTGGCTGGATGTTCAACCAACTAAAGCAGCGACTTCTAATAAAATCATTCAACCATGAAAGAGTAACAGGATTTGATTTTATTTGTATTCCCTATACATACAGACGAATGTGTGAAAATATTTACTTATTTTATACTACACTTATACCTACACTATAAAAATTAAAAATCGATTCTATTTTTTTTTCATTTGAAATTACATTGCGCGACAGATGCATGTATCAATAGTTAAAAAAAATGACGGTTACGTTACGTTACGGATGCCGGTTCAAATCCTGCCCATGTCCCAACATTTTTTGAATTTATAATTGATTTTTAATTTACATAGAATATAAATAGTCTAGAAAAGTGTGTTTTATGGGTAATTCGTTTCTTAGATATAAAGCTTTTTAAAATGAACTAATGAATCAATGTCTACTTTGATGACATTGTATGTTTGAGTGTGTTGTGTGAGATGGTGTAGATTGAAGTAATCGGTTTTCTTGTACACATATAAATTGTTAAACATATTCACGTACAAGTATTTTAATAAAATGCAACGATCGTAAAACAAAATTTTTCCTTGTCGATAAAGATCAATTTGCGTACGATAAACAGAACCTTGAAATTTAACGATTGGTGTGAACACTGTGAAATGCAACTCAAGCCTTGTCACTTGAAGATGTTCAGTTTTCCCTGGCATTGGTTCAACGCGGTGTTATATTATAGGTACTTAAATGTTTAATGCTACCTTAAACACCAAATCTACTTTTTTAAAGGTTTAAGTAATTTCAGAATATACTAAAAGTAGTTTATTTAAAGACTAAAATTTATAAAATACCAATATATTATTTTTGAGGCTTCCGATTCTCTTTAATTTTATACAATTAAGTTGAGTTTTCTACTTGACAAAATTCTGTAAAAAAGTAGGCACCCGAAACCCGTTTATTCTATGTACTCGTTATATTTCAAATATTGAAGAAACCAAGACGTTTTAATTAATTTTAACTAAACTATTTTAACGGTTAAAAACCCGAACTATATAATTAAACTTCTTTTTAATTTATTTAGACTGAGACCCGATGTTTTAAAAGCTTTACAGTAGCCGTGATCAGAGGAGCCTGAAGGTGAAAGCTGTCACTAATATCAAATACAAATCTGCTACACTAGCGCCATCTGTTCTACATACGAGGTACTAGCACATCTGTAACTCCAAATATATTTCGCGTTTTTTTATTATTAGAGTTTTATTTAAGACTAGAACCATACTATGTACGTCTATCGAAAGCAATTCCAAACGAAATATGAGAAATGTACACAAT